ACGAGCCCAAGCCCGCGGGCCCGCCGATGGGCGGTATGGGTGGCATGGGTGGTATGGGCGGGTTCTAAGCGGCTCGTTTGGTTCCCTCGCCTCTCGCTCTCGCGTCAAAAGTACTTCCTGTTCGTTGGTCCCGTCCTCCCATCACCTCGCCCCCGCATCCTGCATCGTTCGCAACGCCACACCTTAGTGCTATGATAGATCTACTTACTTTACGTCGCTTACTGTACTCGCTGTCCTTACTATGCCTTACGCTTACGCACGTGCAATGCCACACATCCCCGCTCCTCTCAGTCTGAGCGCGTCGATCAGCCGCATGGGCCAACGCGAGATTCAGGCTGCTCGTCTCGCGAAGGGGGCGGTAACTTGCTGCGTCCGCGCAACGCTCGCGCACGGGCGCCTGAGGGAGTGGGTTCTCGAAGTCGCAGGTGCGCCTCAGGTACCCAGAGTCCGCGCCTCGTATTCGTAGCCCCCATCCACGCAGTCCGCCACGATCCCTGCCCCATGGCCACGGCCAGCCACTTCTGGAGCCTTGGTCCAGCCAAACGTCGACCCGCCCGCCCACTTGGCCGCACTCAGTGGAGCTCGAGCATCCCCGGTCCTTCCTTCCGACTTTCATGTTCAAACAAGAGTTTGGGCAATGCCGATGCCTAGACCACGCACGCGCTGGGGGAGCTGCAGTAGCATAGATGCCTCGTAAAATACAACTTTATCGTCTTCGTCCCCAGCTCCTAATGGACTGTCGAGAACTTGTATGTCGAGCTCCACACGTAGTCCTTGCCAGGGTAATCTGTGCAATACACTGTCATCAGCCACGCTCGTGTCGCGTGCATGCGAGAACACGTACAAATCTGGTCGACGCCCCATTCGGGTGTGTTGATCGCGTCGATGTAGCCTTCCTGCTCGATCGCCACCGCGGAGTACGACGTGTAGTTCACGTCCGGGCCGCCGTGGACGACCTTTCGGGGAGTGTTCAGCCAGTAAGCAGTATACACCTGCACCGCTGGGTTGCTCGTCGTCACATCCAGCCTGCAAGGCGTCAGAGTTTTGGTGTCTACGGTAGCTAGCGACCGTCGACGTACTTGATACCGGAGACGTCGCTCCAAAGGGTAACGCCCGGGACCGTGTCGTGTGCGTGGTCGTAGATCCAGCAGTGATCATACCCACTGCACTCTGCGCGAAAATGTGAGCGCACAGGACGTGGCAACCAAGCGAAGACCGCGCACCACCCAAGCAGAGCCCGACCGTCTCATCCCAGTCCCAGTCGATCGAGCGCGGGGTGCGGAAGTCGAACGGGGTCCCCGCGACGTTGATGAAGTCGCCCGTGGGGATCGCGTCGCCGTCGACGGCAACGACGCGCGAGCTGTCGACGTGGAGCTTGTGCTTGAGGATGTTCTCGCTGCCCTGGAAAGCGTCCAGGTTCCAGTAGATGTGCTGCGTGAGCATGATTGGCGTCTTCTCAGTCGGCTTCGCGATGATGTGCGTCTTGAAGATGCCACCGTTCTCGACGGAGTGAGTGACCTGAATGTAGAGTTAAAAGATGAAGCAGTGGCGTGTATGCGCCGCTTACGTTCGCGTCGACGAAGCCGGGAAAGCCTTCGTCTGCCATGTCGAGGTGGTTGTACGTCACGCTCGTGGCGTTGCGCTCGACGATCGTCCAGTTGCGACGATCCCAGCCGTAAATGCCACCATGAAGAGTATCCTCCCCTGTATCCGAGTATAAATTGATAATCAAAACCTGAAGGTCATAATGCTCACCGTCGTGGTCGTTGGTCGGAATGTGATACACGTTGGGACCGTCCGGCTGAGGGTCCTTCGTGATTGGGATAGAGAACGTTCCTTCGATGCGAATAATAGTCGCTTCAATCCACAGAGAGCATATAGACGGCGCGAAGCATACCGTTCTTGATCCGGTTCGCATACCTAAAACCATTTCAGCGCTGGACTCGAACCTGAGCAGTGTCGAAAGAAGCCCACCGGCCGACGATGGGGTTGAAGACAGGATGGTTGCTGTCAGTCAACAGCATGCTCTGCGGTCGCAACCTCGTCAACTTCGTCATTGCCCCAGCACACATCCCTCAGACTCACGTTGTCGTCATACCCAATGATGATGTCCCGCGCTTTCCCGTGCCGGTCCTTCACCCACAGCTCCGTCATCGTCGCCCCGAACGAGACGAACTTGGCCTTGACGGACCCATCGGGGGCGTTCAGCTCCGTGACATCGAAGGGCTTGAACTCAAGTTAGAGCACACGTTTCCGTGTTCGCAAAGTAAAAGCACTTACCCAGCCGGGCGCGTTCACAGCGTTCGCGGCCGCGGCCAAGCCGAGTGCAAGCGCGACGAGCAGAGTCTTCATAGGGATGTGTCGGAGATTTCTGGATCGGCATCGTCCATAGGTGAGCGCAGTTCGCTGCATGGGACAAGAGCAGCACTTACGTGAGTTGGGAAAAGGATGTCGGGGCTCGCGAGGGATGCGCGGCGCGGCCTTCGGGGCTTTATTGCGTATAACGGATCCGGGTTGGATAAACGTCGCGGAAACGGGGGAGGGTTGTTCCATCATGTGGGACCCGTGCAACAGCACTCAGGCGATCCGAGGGAAAGGAAGCACGAGCGGTACTTGTGTATGTGCGGAAGTGAGACGCGTTGCGGTCATGTGTTGTAATAGACCTCGAGATATTTCGGAGCATTGGCGGATGAGGCATGCATATGCAGCGACTTCACTTTCTGGCCGGACGAACTTCAGAACACGAGACGATGATCAGACTTTGGCGTACCTGGCCCGTCTTCCGAGCTTTGGCAATGGCGTCATTGGACGGGGTGTAGTGATAGTACATTGGTATTGCATTCTTCGTGCTAGTATACATCCTACATCATGCTTTGTCCCAGCGTGTCCTGGCCGCCGCCTCGACCTTCGAGTCCAGGATCCCGTGCCGTCCGTCGATCGCGCTTCTTCTTGCCCACCCTCGGCGCCTTCTTCGCGCTCGCCTTCGCCTCCACCTGCCGTATCGTCTCGTGCTCCTCGTCCATGAATCCGACCGTGATCTCGTCGAACCGCTCCGCGTCTTCGACCGCCTTCTGGTCCTCGGGACCCCACCCCGACCACGTCTGCCCGTCCGCGTCCTGGTCGACCGGAAGCGGGTCGAGGTTCACAGGCGCGCTAGGCGTGTGCGCCTCCGAGCTTACGGTGCCCATCGACGTCGAGCGCGATATCGAGTCCGCGAGCCCCTGCACGGGCTGCACGTCATTCACCGCGAAATCCTCGTCCTCTTCATCAAACTCGAGCGGGACAGAGTCCCGTCGGTGCTGCGGTACCAGCTTCGGGGAGCGCGCCTTGCCCAGCTCCCGCCTGATCCGCCCGATCCCCTCCGACATCCCGTCCTGCAGGCCCGCGGCGACCTGGCGGATCGGGATCGCGTTGATGAGCGAGCGCGACGCGGACCCGGGCGTGCCGTTGGGCAGCATCGGCAGGACTGGAGGCGATGGGTTCTGCGCGGGGAGCGGCCCGGAGAGCGCGGACGCGAGCGGCTCATCGAAGGAAGATGGGGCGCGTCCGCCGATGTCGTGGTGCGCGTGCGCAGGGAGCCCCTGGACGAACGCGTCGCCGTCGCCGGTGGCGAACGCGCTCACTTCGATCGGCTTCCGGACGTCGATCTTCCGTGCGGGAACGTCCAGATGCGCGGAGCGGATGAGCGCGTGGTAGTCCTCGCTGAGCGCGTAGAACGAGAACTGGTGCGAGAGGTAGATGAGGCGGGGAAGAAGCTTGGGCGACGACGAGCACGTCGAGAGCTCTGCACGGGAGAGCCAGCTGTGCAAACGCTGGCGTTAGTATGGAATCATCGAACGGAACGGTGCAAGCAACGTACTCGGCCTTTGGGAGCTTCCTCAGCGTCCCACTCCCCGCCCTCCCGCTCCGCAACACCTGCCTCACTTCGGGCCAGCCGCCCCCTCTCGCGAGCGCCCACGTCCCGACGACCGTCTCCCGCCCTACGATCTCCGTCCCGCGCTCCATCATCTGCGTCAGCCCCGACGCCACACGCGGACTCGGCGGGCTCGCGCTCATCCCGACCATACCCATGTTCCTGAGCGTGCCCACTCCTGGGAGCGAAATGCTCATCCCGCCCGCGACGGGGATCGAGCCGGGGACGACGGCGGTGTCGACGGCGGCGCGCTCGACAAAGATGCGGTGGAGCGCCAGGGTGCCGTCGTTCGGGTCGAACACGAGAAGGTCTTTGTAGTTCGTAGGGCGGGTCGGGCGCTGAGCGGGGGAGACGGGCTTGGCGAACCCGCTCGAGGTGACCGAGGAAGGCGACGAGGACGCAGAGAAGTGGACCGCGGCGGGCGGGAGCAGCGAGGAGGGCACCGCACCATCGGCCCCGCGAACAAAGGTGAACGCAACGGGGACACTCCGCGCGTCCTGTGGGAGCTGCTTGAGCCGGACGCGCACAAGCGGGGGAAGCTCGGTCTGAGGGGCGGCCTGCACGACACAGACGATGCTCAGCTGTGACGTCGTGTACAACATGAACGGAAGTGAACTCACCAGCTCTTGCAGATTACCCACCCTGCCCATGAGGTGTCCCGCGCCGTCCGGCTTACCGCCCATTGGGTTCACTGCGTACACGTGGATGGTCCGCTTGCGCGAAGACATCGCGAACCACGCCTTGTCGTTCGCCCACTCGACGCCCTCGACAATCGCGCTCGTCCGTCCACGCCGGAGCGTATACACGTGCTGGACAGACTCCGCGAGATGCTCCGCGCCGGCGTCCGAGGAAGATGAGGCGCGTCGAATTGGATGCACGCTTGGCCGATCGTGCGTGCGTTTCGTACTGTCTGGCTCTCGCCGCGTCGTGGATGAGAGGGCGCGGATCCGCGCGGACCGTGGAGTGGGCTTGATCTGGAACACGCGTACAGCGTGTCCATCTTTCGAGCAGACAGCGATGCTCGTTCCGTCGTCCGAGAACTTCAACGCACTGAGTGCTGGCGCCTTGGCGAACGCGAACTGCGCGATCGGCTCCGGTTCTGTCCCAGGGGCCGCACCCAGGAGGCTCCGGAGGTCAACGATAACGACAACAGACCCCGCGGAGGACATGCCGGGGGACGACGCTGAAGGAGGCAGAAAGCCCGTCGATGTGGGTGTGGGCGACGCGAGCCCGTCGTTAGTGGCGGTGTTGACGGGAGAGATGCGCAGGCTTCGGCGCCGCCGATCCGCTGCAGTCTGGTACTCGTGCGGAGAGGCGGTCGCCGCTGGGGCGCTCTTGCTGAAGAACAACCCGAACCCGTTGGCACCGCTTCCGCCGGCGGAAGTGCTTCGCGCGTGCGCAGCGCCTTGCTCTACCGCGGCGTTCACGCCTGCGCGCGCAGCAGAGAACGCCATGCCGCCGAGGGTCTTCATCCCGCTTAGCATTGAGCCGCCGATCTTGACCGCGGCACTACCGAGCTCCGCCTGAGATATGTTCAAGCCGAACTTGCCTGCGGATTGCGCGGCATCGAGAGCGGGGACAGGTGAGCTTGTGTGAGCTTGACCAGGGGTAGGTATGGGTATGGGCTCTGGGCGGGTGAGGGGGGCGACGTACGCCAAGAGGCGATTAGAGAGTGCGTAGATAGGTCGTGGCGCCGACGTTGCGAAATGTTTGTCTAGATCTAGATGAGATAAGTCGTTGAATGATGCGTTGTTGTTATGACTGGTTACTGGTGAGGTGTATGATGGGGGATATGCGAATGAGTTCAGCGAGGTGGACGATATAGTGTACAGAGTCGCAAGTGTACAGGCGGAAATAGTTGTTAGCGTTGATGGGTTTGATGTACACTGTAGAAGAAGTCAGTATGAACGAGGTTATCGAAGTATGGCAGACGCACCAAAACAATAAATTGACTAGATGCAGCGAAAGATGTTAGACCGATTACGGGAAGTCGGTGGACGACTTCATGCGAACGTAAAGAATACACAACGAAGTCAGTGCCTTGAGCCGTGCGTGACCTGGAAAAGTGACGTCAATATGGGCACACCCCAACATACAGAAGGCGCTCACGAGAAGCCAATCAGTGGCCGCTTCTGCCTGAATTCGTCCTCCGCGGGGTTCGTGATGTCAGGCAGCACCCCCGCGAACTCGACAGCGCCCCACTGCGCACCTGTCAGGTTCAGCAGCTCAGACACGGAACCCAGGTTCAGGCAGTCCCATATCTGAACCCCGCTCGGATACCCGAGCATGAGCACGCTCCTAGCGTGACAAGATTAGCGGACGAATAGGTAAGGGGTGGCCTCACATACCTGGACTTCGGCGTCTCCCCAGACCCGTCGATGACGCTCGACAGCGTGTCCCATCCTGCCCACAGGATGCTCTCCGTGTCTCCGACACCCGGATACCGCGTCGCCCTCCGCTCTGGTTCTTCCTCGCGTAACACGTCGTCGTCGAGGCTGAATACCGGCATCTCTCCGGAGGACCGGTGTCCGCGGCTCTGAGTGGCGCCACTCACTGGACGACGCCACTCGGGAGAAGAGGGTGGGGGCGAGGCTGCATGGAGTACCGGGGCTGTCGGCGCAGACGGGCTAAGGAAACTCCCGAACGAGACTGGTCGTGAGACGCGCGGGGGCGAGGGTGCCGCCGAGGGGATCGGGATCGACGAGGGTACATAGTTGCGAATCGTCCGGGAGAAAGTCTCGAGGGGTGTCGGGTCGCTGTATGCATCATCGTGGTCAGTATACTCGTGGTCATACGGGGTGAGAGATAAAAGACAGAGGGGAATGTTTGTCTGTAAAGGCTCCATGACGTCCAAGAGCTGTCATGACGGATCCAAGTACCATGAAGGCGCGTAACGAACACGCGACTGCCTCGAGCCGGTCAGTCGGGGGACCCTGACTGCGAGTGATACCACCCTGAACGTGGTGGACGGATCCTGCCGCTTCATTTCCGCGATCTAGACCGGCGGACAGACTCCGGGATAGGCTTTTAGGTCGCCAACTCGCCGAAAGCAGTGTCCACATGAGTACTGACACGTGCTCGCGCAGCCCGACGACTGTCCTATGAGGAAGGACGAACGTGCACATGTGGCGCCGTTCATGACATAACGCAACGTCCTCGTCTCGCCACTGAACCAATGGACATGCGTGCACCCAGAGCAGTGTCTCCCCGATAACTCTATGCGCGCATATCGACCGCACATGGTGATAACTTCACCGTTCAAGACGCCAATAGACACGCGCGCATTCGGAGCCTGTCTCCTCAACAACTCAATGCGCGTATGTAGCGACTCACAAGGCCTGGAGGTGCGCATAGTGACTCGTGACAAGTAGATGGGCGCATATAGCGACCCATCGACCGCAGATGATGATGGTCTCAGCGTCCGGAGGCCACTTCCGGATATGTGGGTCCGCGCGCGAGTGACTCGCGCAGTCCCACAATCAAGGGGCCGAGACGATCTGCGCTAGTCTTATCGCCCCATGCGCGGTCCAGTGAAGCGGGACGTCGGCAAGAGCCCGGGGTATCCCACATCCGACTGGACAGCGCATCGCCCGAAGACAGTCACGGACCCCCAAGGAAGGAAGAACAAGGAACGCAGAACAAAGGGTACTCACCGGGCGAGGACGGGTGCCCGGATGTGCCCCACACTCCGGGCGAGCGACGAGTCGTCGTCGGTCGTGTCTTCGGCAGCGGCTGCGGCTGCGGCGGCACTGGCGAGCTTGCTCAAGCCAGACCTTCTAGGCGACGGCTCGTCCGAGACCGCGAAGTGGTTCCCGAGCGAAGAGGGGCCGGGTGGGGAGGTCGAGGTGGAAGCGGGGCCCCCGTCGTCGATGTCGGATTCGCTCGCGCCCTCGTGATGGACGTACATCTCGAGCCCCGTTCCCGTCCCATCCCGGCCCAGCGCGAGGGCGGTGCGCTGCCCGGCCCTCGAGCCGTACGCGTATCGGTCGACGTCGCGGTCGTGGTCGCGGTCGGGGGTGTACGCGAAGCCGGGGTCGTCGTCAAAAAGGTGGGCGTCGCGGATCGCGGCGGACGCGCGGCCGGCCTCGGGATCGGACGGCGGGGGTTCTAGCTCGAAGACGGCGGGGGAAGGGGAGGGGTATGGTGGAGCCTCGGGCTCGAAGGACAGCAGATTGGGGGGAGGGTTGGGGGTGCCGAGGTTGATGCTGTGGACGGGGCTGGGGGAGTACGATGCGAGAGAGTCGTCGTAGGAGGTTGGTTGAGCAGAAGGGTGCTGGCGGCGAGAGGCATTGCGCTTCGAGCGAGGGGGCATTAACGGTGCGTATCGATATGTGTGGTGGCGGGTGGCGTGGAGGAGAAAGGCGGTAGGAGACGCGAGATGAGAGCAGGAGACAAGGTCGTACAAGCGAATGTACGGCCGATAGATATGAGCTGGTGGTTGTTGGGCCGTGGCAGTCGTCTGGAGAGGTCAACAACTGGTTTGCGGGGCTGCCCAAGCTCCGAGTCATGGCCCGCCACTTGCAACTAGGGCTCCCGATCTGGAACCCTAGGCTCCCCGCCCGGCCCGCCTCCGTCTCCTTCCCTGCATCGCCCTTCTTGGTGCGGAACACGTGCTGTTCTCTCTCTCCTACTTACCACGGCGGCTGCGAGCTAATGGAATAAGTGCAGGTCCGTCAAGCAACATCCCTCCATCCGTTTCTCCTCACTGACCGTCTGCTTGAGCAGCATCCACCTTCGACCATGCCCCCGCACGATATACCCAGTCTCCGCCACTCCCAGGCATCTCCCTCCCTTTCGCTGGAGAAGGGCTCCTACCGTCTTCGAGCACCTCCCGCCCGCATTCGCCCCACCTCGCACCTCGCATCTGACAGAACAGCATATGGCCACACCCCTCCGCAACTACTGGCCCGTGGCGAGGCTTTCGTGCCGGCTACGCACGAGAAACGGATGACGGTGTTAGTTGCGTTTCTGGCCTGCGCAATGATTGCGAGTTTCGGAACTGCATATTATCTGTGGACGACAAGGTACGTGCTCTGCCATCTTATGCGCTCCGACCATGTTCAAGTGTCCTGAACCTACCCTCGTTCCTGGCCTTTTTCAGCCACCGCGTCCCTCTCCGTCTCACATAACCGCTCTCCCTCCCCCTGCTGTCGTTACGCTGTCTGCTTGCATATCCTTATTTTGTATCGGACTCAATTATGTATCCACGTTGCCGGTTGCTCTCGATCTCCCTCGATCCTCGGCCGCGTGATCGACCAGAGCTTCCACCCTCCAGTGCAGCAACACTCGCATCGCCATTACCACCAACAGCTCCATCCACGATGAGGTGCGTCTGCGACAATTCTGACCCCCTGCGTTAATTCCAATGCGCGGCAGACAGTCAAGTGATCCACTGCGGCGGGTTGCCGTCCCCGAGCGCAGCCACGGTCTTGGACCCAGTGCGCGGCGTCAGACATCACCCGCCTCCTGCGCGAACGGCGGCATGCCGGATTGGGGCGGCGCGCGACGAAACTCGTCTAGGGATGCCCCTCGCACCACCGATCGCAGGCCCCAGCCCCGCCACGGCCACTGAGCCAACACAATAATACTCCTCCCGCAGCCCCTCCTCGCACCCCGTTCACCTTCGTTTCCGTCCACCATCTGCCCGTCTCGTGGCCAACCCTCCCCGTCGCTCCTCCCGTGATGTCCAACTCGCCTATCCCCATCCCCGGCTCCTTCGCCGACCTCCTCCGCGACAAGTCCCAATCCCGCGGCAAGCGCGCTCCCCTCCCCGCCCCCCTCGTCCTCCGCCTCAACGCCGTCCCGCTCCCGCCCTCCACCTCCGCCGCCCGGACCGCCGTCCGACGCGCGTCGTTTGTCGCCCGCGTGCAGCGCACCTGCGCCGAGGCTCGCTCCCGCTGCACCCTCATCCTCCCCAGCCCGCCCCTGACGCCCCTCTCTGGCGACTCTCTACCCCCCACCCCCACGACCCCGACCCCCGGACCCGTAAATGGCAAGGCGCAGAAGGCTAGGCTGTCCAAGGTGCGCCGCACGCTCGGCGACGACGTCCCGCCCGAGCTCGTCGACCCCGCACGCCTGTGCCAGTCCCGGCACGTCTCGTTCGCACAGCCCTCGCCCCCAATCACACCCGTGCTGTCGCAGGCGTCGTTTTCCGACACCCCGTCCCCATCCCCGCCGTCGATATCCCCGTCCTCCGCCTCGTCGTCACTCACGCCCGCAACGCCCACGACGTCCGTATCCACCCCGTCGCTCATGCGCACACACGCGTCCGTCCTCCTCGGCCCACCATCCCCCTCCCCCTCGCATCCGTCGACGTCGATGCACCGACCGAGGCCGAAGCACGTCCGCAGGCGGAGTGTCCCCGTCGACTACACGCGTGGCGTCCGCTCTCCCCGCCCCTCCCTGGCGTCGGCGTCAGTCGCGACCTACGCGTGTGCGCTCTCGGAGGAGCGCCGCCCCCCGCTCGCCTACCCCGCCGTCGCCTGCAGCCCGCAGGTGTCGCAGCCGGGGGACGTCGAGCGGGAGGCCCCGAGCGCGGGCCGGGTGGGTGCGCGGTGGGCGCGCGGCGCGGTCGCGTGGGCGAGGCGGTCATGTGTTCGTCGTGGGCTCTCTTCCTCGGCGTGTGCGATCGCTAGGTGACATGGCGTTCGCTTTTCCCTCTGACCGTTGTCCTAGACGTCGCGCCCTCCAGCAGACCACCTTATTTATGTATACTGTACGTGCGCTACCCTATTCTTGCGGGATTGTTGCAGAGCCTCAACAAGAGCGCGAGCTCGCGAGACTGTCTTGTCTCTGCTCCGCCACGCGACCTTCCACCTACACAACCGACGGCCATGTTGCGCGAATCCGCCACGAAGACGGTCGGGTCCCACGAATCGAGCAGTCGCCCAGGCTATGGGCTTTGTGAGAGTGCCAGCAAATCCTCCACGGGGAGACTTTGGTTTGTGAAATGACGCATGGAGATCTTGAGGGAGACTGGCATGAGAAGAATCCTAACGTCGTCCGTACGTACTACTTCTATCACAGAAGCGTATCAGGGTGTTCTGAGAGTACACCATTCATTCAGCATAGCTAGTGAGAAAATGCGAGAGATATTCGTGTGAGACTCGGTAGGTATGAGGAAGCATACTAGCCCGGATATCTTCGGGACCGTCTAGCGGCGCGTGGACGCGGTGAGGCGGCAGTAGGCGCCCATTCCCGTTTTTGATGCGGTGTTTGCAAGTTGGCACAGCTGGAACACCTCGCGTCCTCCTGTATCCTCCCAATCCATCCCGTCCTTATATCCCTCAAGGAGATAGACCATTTCCCCCTCATATCCGCCAAGCGCTGCACTCTCGCCTCGCTATCTCAACCCCCGGCGTGCAGTCGTCTTCAGTGAGTACCAGGCCTCTCACTGTTTGACAAATCGTCGACATTGGCATCCACCACAAACACATTCCTCCCAAATTGGACCCTAAAACAAATCCTACAGGTTCTCATACGTACTGTAGTGGCTTCAAGAAGGTATCGACGCTGCCGGTGTCACTGGAACCCATCAAGAACGACACCAATAGCACTCCTGGAGGTCACGGAAGGCATAAACTCACCGACATGATAGAACAGCACATTGTCGAGTTTGTCGAAGAGCGCCCGGTCAACGACATCTACCGCAACCACCTCGGCGGCAAGCTCGGTAGATCACAAGCACCGTCTCCGCTGTTCATGGACAAGTTCCCTTCGCCGCGAGTGGAATTCGAGAACGACTCAAAGCCACGCGAGGAGCGTTTCAGGGTGGAGATTGTTAGTCCTGTTTATTTTGTCTGTATCTTCCGTTTTCATTCTTTCCGTCAGGCTTGGATCGCGAACAAGATCACGGAAATTGTGGCGTCTCCAGACAGTCGTCGCACCGCCCTCAAAACTACCCTTGACCTCCTGCTCGATGCTGAAAAGGCTCTCGGCGACGCCCGTACGGAACTAATCCAGTCTCGCACCATTCGGCGTGTCGTTTCGGACGCCGTGCGCACAGAGATCCCACAGGCTGCGGAGGATCGAGTCGAAGACCAATTTCTCCAAGCAGATGTTAAAGAAACGGGGACTCGGCTGCCCGACAACACTGCCTACGACGGAAGCGAAGCCTCGTACTGTACCGCCGCGGCCAATTGCGACGCTTATATGCTGGCATATCGTGACGCCTCTGAGCAGCATGACGAGTATAACAAGGCGTACCGGATGGCCGACCGAGAGTACCGGATGCTCTGTGATCGGCCTCCCTCGGACGATCGCCTGGAGTCGACCTGCGCAGAATGTGATCAAGCGCTGGGGGGCACCCACAATCTATCCTGTGATGTTTGCAACCGCCGCGCCGATGATCTCTACCAACAGGCACACGCGAGGTATCGCAAAGCGTATCAGAAGCACGAAGCCGCACGCAAAGCGTACGCCCTGGCCGAATCGGAGTGGCGCCTTCTGTCGAGGGTTTCGATCCCTCTCAGAGTCTTGGAAACGTCTACGCTTGGCCCGCTGAACGACCCTGCAGACCCCGACGTACCGGACGTCCACGGTGACAACAGACCGGATCTATGTGTCTACTTTGACGACGCCAGTGTCACCGATCGCCCCAACGTCGCTCTTTCGGACGCGGAGAAGGACGACTGCCAGTGCGAGGAAAACGCTGTGAGCATCACGGACGAATCATATTCAGATCGCAGCAAGTATCTCGGGAGAGCCTCCCTCGCTGATGTCGTTGTCCTGATCGAAGTCAAGAGCGACCCAATCGAGTCCGAGTTTACGTTCCCCAATCTTACCCCTGCTAGAGAGGCCCACAAGATCGTTCGCAGACCGGTCAAGACGCATGGGCATGTCAACCGGTACTGCGCGGCGATCCTGGAGAAGCAGCACCGGACCAAGCTCATCGCGCTCTACGTCTGTCGCTTCCAAGCGCGGATCATCGTGGTCGACCGCGGGTCCTTCGTTATATCCAACCCGTTCGGATGGCGTACGAAGGACGACCCGACCTTGTACGAGTTCTTCTGGCGCCTCGCGCTGCTCTCTGGATCTAAGGAAGTCCTGGGCTTCGACCTCTCGGTCACTCGTGTCCCCCACGACGAAGGGAAGCGCACCATCGAGGGGTACATCGGAAGGAAGCTCTCGTTTACTTGCCTCGAGAAGACGCTATCCGACTTTCGTGGAGTGTGCGAGCAGTCGAAGTGGGACCTCCGGGTCAAGAAGATGTGCAAGCAGTGGGTGGACTACATCTCGCGCAAGATGCGCCTCTCGATGCCCACTTCGCAGTGGCCCTTCTACCGTCTCAACATATGCGGCAAGAAATATCTGATCGCCGCGCCAAGCACCACGTCCAGTGCGCTCTTCGGGCCTTCCCGTCGCATCTTCATCGCCTACTGCGAGGACGACGACGAGCTGCGCACGGTCAAAGACTACTGGCGACTCGACTCGGACGCCCCAGCTCCACGCGAACACGACATATACGCTCGCCTAGCTGTTACCAAGGTCAGGAATGTGCCCGAGTGCGAGTGCGGGGAAGACGTCACCGTTGGACCGGGCGGCGACCAACAGCGTACGGCGACGCTCGATCGGTGGGGGCCCGACCCTCCCAGGACGAAGACGCTCGTGCACTATCGCATCGTCCTGAAGCAAGTCTACAAGCCGCTGCTCAACTTCGGCGACTTCCAGAGCTTGTGTGGGGACCTGGCGGACGCCATGGAAGGTGCGTGACTCGGCCGAGCGAACATTGGTACTCGTACGCGGCGACGGATTCGGACTGACCGCTACTCTGCTACTACAGCACACCTCGACGCGTGTGAGAAGGCGCATCTAATACACCGCTCGATCAGCCTCTGGAGCGTCGGTCTCTATGTTTTCCCGGGCGAAGTAACCCCGCGGTGCCTGCTCGGCGATTGGGAGTGGGCGAAGACTGAAGAAGAGATCGCTCAGAGGAGGGCTCGACGAGATGTGATCCCGGTGAGCCTTCTTATTACTTCTAGGGCGATCAAGGGGATTTTCGAACTGAACAGCATTGTCCAGGGCGCGTGGTACTTCCACTCAGCACTAGTGGCGAACTTTCCTGCGCGTGGTCACGCCGTTTCAGACGACGTTGAGTCGTTCATTCACCTCTTCCAGTACTCCGTCTTGCGCTTTACCCGGACGTCTTGCACACCCCACTTTTTATTGAAAGCCCTGTACAAGATCGACGAGGCCAAAATCCTCCCCAAGATTGTCAACATGGTGTACGGCGACTACGTATTATTCGACGGTGAAAGGTACAACGGAGGCGATAATAAACTCTTGTTCACGCAGAGGTCTACTTCATGGATCAAGCCGCAGGACAAACAGAAGAAACCCCTGACGGCGCTCTTGAAGGAGCTCGCAAAGATGGTGCATGAGCACTACGGAACGTTCAACGCCGACGACTACACGGAAGAGTTCTATTCGCGTGACTCGGAGTCGCCTACTGTACTCTTCAGCGACATGAAGATCTCGAGTGACGACGACGGTGGCTCGAAGGTGGGCGGAGAATCCGATTATGCCATGAGTGACGCCGATGACGGCGCCGACAAGGACGCCGAAGACCCCGACAAGGACACCATGGACACGGAAGACAGCGCTCCTCCTTGGCTACCTTCTTACGACGGCCCCTTCACGACGAGCGATTCCAAGGTTCTCGAAGAGAACGGCCCGTTGAAGAACCATGCCGGTCTGCTGAACCTCTTCCGCAAGTACCATGGGGAAGTGCGGTGGAGGAAGGAGGAGGCTAAGATCGACGGCGACTTGTTCCTACTTGCTTACCGATCCAAGGCCAAGAAGCGGTGAATTGCTACAGCTGTGTACGTATACGGTATCATGCGAATGCAATGTCGACGAAGGAGGAAGTGTTCCTTGCATGTTGCCGTGGTGCTTCAGGACCTGTGTTGAATAATCTCGGAATTGACTATTTGGACGCCTCGGAAGACGGGCGATGCACATGCAGTGACTCGCATAGGAAGGCACTGGGAGCGCAGAAGAAAGGCCTTACCCGCTGTCAATACCCCCGAGATCGAGCTCGAGATCTAGTCCAGTCGTGGAGCGGTGGCGAAAGACTCGACGGGGCCCTCCAGATGAGATACCAGTACTCTACGCGGCTGCCGGAGAACGTGTGAGCGTGGGCATGTAGCAAGAATGGCTCAGATGGTCACCCGCGACGAAGTGGTCCGTGTGCCATACGACCGAGACTGGGGCAGCGTAGGCGGCCCACGCAGACCCTAACCCAAACACATGCCTTTGGGCCAAGTTCAGGACACGGTGACACGAAAGTGCTTCGGCTGTACGCCCGCAAGCGAGCTCATCCACAAAGACGCAAATAATTATGGGGGAATCATGTGTGAGCGAATACCAGTACAACCACACGGAACCCAGAGCTAGAGCTTCATGAGGCCCTTCATCGCGTTCGCGACCGCGAAGCTCGACTTGGCCATCACCTGCCGGGACTCCTTCGTGATGTCCGCCTGCGCCTGCACCTCGCTCAGCGTGTTCGCGTGCTCGCCGAGCTCGCGGAGGACCTCCTCGCCCTGTGCCCGCGAGCCGGGCGGGAAGTTGTCCTTGCAGACCGCGACGATGCTCGACACGATCGTGATGATCTGCGTCAGGTTCTCGTTCAGGTTCGGCGACGGCGTCGGGCTCCGCACGCCCGAGAGCACGCTCTGGATCGCGTACACGATCGCCTCCGTCTGGGCTTCGAGATACGGCTGGAAGAGAAGGAACACGTCAGCGGTGGATCGAGAGGTCACACAGACATGTCCGCGCACCTTGAGCTCAGCCCAGGCGTCTTCGGGACCCTCTCCTCCCGCCACCGGAATCTCCGCCTTCATCCCATTCGGCCTGCTCTTCTCAGGTGCCGGAGGCGGGGGCGAGCTCGGGTTCGACATGTTCGACGGCGGCCGGCGCGGCGTGACCTTGGGTGACGACGTGGGCGACCCGCGCACGTTGTCGTCTCCCCCACGCGAGCTCGCGCTGCTCCCCGAGCGCTGATGGGTCCCACGAAGTTCCTCCACCGCGCGCAGACTCGGGGTGTACCCGTTGCCGTTCGACGCGGACGCCGCCGTGACCGACGGCGCGAACGCGTCCTGTTCTGCGCGCGTCGCCTTGCGTATGTGGATCGTCTTCCCGATCTCCGTCACCGTGCCCGACACGTGACTGGCGGCGGCGTCGAGCAGCGATACAGGAGCCATACCGGAGCTCGTAGCGTGCGTCTTCACGGCCTGTACGAGGTTGCTGAGCGTCGCGTCCAAGCGTTCGCGGAGTGATTGGAGCGCCTCGAGGTCCACCTCCGCGCGGTCGCGTTGCGGACGGCGCTCGAACGCGCGCACGTCATCGCTGATCGCTGAGGCGGCGTTGACCACCGCCTTCATCGGCTGCAGGACGCGCGTCGGCGCGTTCGAGCGACCCGCGGTCAACAGGCTGTCGATGGAGGAGACGAAGGCAGTGACGTGGATGTCGACCAGGCCGCCCTCGCGCGAGACGGGCAGCTGGTCATCCAGCTTCGGTGCCTGCGTGAACAGCTGCGATGTCGCTGGGGACAACCGCGTCAGGAACGTGGACCAATCAAACAGACGAGAACACACGCACCTTTAGCACTGCGAAGCTCCGTCTTCGCCTGCTCGTACTTGCGTTTGTACTCCTTCACCTGCATCTCTAGGTCCCTGATGAGAGTAATATCGCCGTCTTTAGCCAACAGCAACTCGTCGTTGCGCCGCGACAAATCGGACAGCTCGACCATAAGGCCCTCCATATCGGAACGCAGTTGGTCCAGGATTGCGGAATCAACCTGTTGACATGGGAGTGAGTGATTGAGCGTTGCAGATGGAGGAGGTACTGACGCTGCCGCCACCTCCGCTCGACTCTAGCATCTCGTACCGCTCGCGCAGGTCCTCCATCTCCTCGCGATCTTGGCGTTGTCGTCGCTCCGCGATGTCCCGCTCCCGCGCGCGTTCCTCTTTGAGCGTTTCGAGCTCCTGCTGTAGCGACAGCATGGACGAAGCCTTCTCCTCCGCACGCTGGGTAGATCACGTGGGTGAGGAAGGGGGATGCACGAAGGCATAGAGAAAGCTCACCCTGCGTAGATCAGAGAGTTCCTGCTCCAACGCTCGAACCCGGTTGTCGCCCTCGGCCCACCGTTGCTCCCGCTCCTGCATGTCCTCGAGATCCCGCTCGAGGCCATTAATCTTGGTTTGCATCGTCGCGATCTTGAGCTCATATTCCCTCCGCAGTCGGTCGTCGTCGCCAGCCACGCTCGTCCTGCCTCCAGCCAACCGAGACCCGACGCCCGACCGGTCCGACGCCTGGCTTTGGCGGCTGTACGCGCCGCGATCGTAGTAGTCGTCCCCGCTCCTTCGCCCCACCTCGTCATCGTCTGCCTGCTGCAGCCGTGCGCTGAGTCCACTGAGGCCCGCGAGTCCGCCCTGCGGCGGGCTGCGCGGGCTGTTGTCGTCGTCGCGCTCCGAGTCGCTCGCGCCGCTGGGCCCCCGGCGCGCCGTCCCTTGAGACTCGCGACCGTACGGAACCTCAATCTCTTCCTCGGCAATGGTGGACTTGTTGGGGATGATCATGCCCATACCCGCGGTCGCGCTCTGAGCGTCGCTCGTCACGCTCGTCGACTCGCTGGGCCGCCGTCCGAGAGTGTCTTGCGACGGCCGTCGGCGGTCGGAGCCGGTACGGATGTCTTGTGATGGTTTGCGACGGGAGTAGGAGTCCGCCGTGGACGCGCCGGGCGTGCTGCCACCATAGCCGGAGTCGTTTCCGCGGTCTTCAGACGTGCGCCCGTTACGCGGGAAGTCGGGGGAGGGGTAGTCGTCGTACGTCGAGCCCGGGGATACGGCAGACATGGGGGGTTCGGGTTCGAGCTGGGCATATGCGCTCCATATCATGCAGGAAAGGGATGATACACGGAAAACGCACCTCTTCTTTGAACTCGGGATACCGTCGAGCGAGTTCATAGTAGACGTCGCTCGAGAGATCCTTGAACCGGCCGTTGGGAAGAGTTGCAAGCTTCTGTCGGGCCTGGTTGCGTTTGGGGTGAAAATCGTCTCGGACGGGAAGGAAGGGGACTACATGGGGTCGATGAGAACCCGAGTTGAAAGCATGAGGCGGATACGTACCTTCGTTGTCGGTAGTGTTGTTCTTACGCCGTACTAGCTCATCGTATACATCTGTCGAGAGTTCCTGGAATTGTTGACGGGTGAGACGAGTGAGCTTTTGGCGTGCAGTGGATCGGGAATTGGCGGGCTCTGGGAAGGAGATGATAGTGAGAATCGATTGGCTACGACGGGGCTTGCTTCCGTCATGGCGGACGAGGGGGACAGGGGTACAGACTGGGTACAAGCGCGAAGTCATGAGGGAGTATGAAAGACGAGGCATTTCTATGCTGCACGTAATATCGAACGGCTACGGGGCCTTAGATCGGTCCTGGTACTGAACGCAAGATGTCATGAAGCCGCGACTCCAACGGTCGAGGACTCTACACGGATGGATGCTCGTCGATCTGACCAAATAAGGGAGATTGTGCGCAGGTCATTCTGGATGGTGTGCTCCAAGCGTATCTTGGCCGGGAAGGACAAGGAGATCGGTGCATGGCGCATATTGACGAGTGAGATGACGTAGAGTGTGAGACCTGACCACGACGTCTACAGGCAAGGAACGGAAGTATGCGTCGGGCATTCAAGGAAGCGTCCATTCACCGACAAGACAAAGCTAACATCCATGCCGTTCGAGCATAGCAACAAATCTCGCAGAACGACCATATGCGCAGAGATGACACGAAGATCGCCTTGACGAATGGAATGGTGATGGGTTAGGCTCGTGCGTCGTACCCCGGAGGCGTACACCGACCGACATGATGCAAACAGATGACAGAAAGGACCTCGGTAGGTTGGGGTCGGAGCAGGGCATGAACTGACCGGTTGGTGCTTCAACCGTGCGGTCCCGGGGGCCAGGGAATATGGCCATCGACAGAGCCTGCATCCATGGCATCCCACCATGTCTGGAAGCTCTGAGAAGTGGCGCAGAGAATCGGGGACGTTCGCCTCAAACGATGGGACGATATCGGAAGCAGCGATGTGCATATATGCGGGGCGGGGACGCAGGACGGAGAAGACGACGAACCTTTGGCCAAGTATGATGCAAGATACTGGCTGAGCTCGGCGAAATGGACGCGCGCGACGGCGCGGGGGTCAACGTTTGCAGCCTGGCCCGAACGAGTGTCGAGGAGTGGGCGGTAGGAGTCTGTGCGGTAGTTGGAGATGCCGGAGTAGGTGGTGTTGGTGGGCGAAGCGGCCCTCGTGGACCCGGCGCGGCGCATGTTACGGAAATGGAGGATGAAGAGGCGGTGATGTGGTGAATAGCGTGCACTGTGAGAAGAGAGCGGTCGGAGGCGGACAGGGAGGGGGGGTGCGAGGGCACGGGGAATGGGTGCGGAGGCGGGAGGAGGAGGAGATGCTCAAACGAGGCGCGGGCGTCGGTCTCGGGCGCCCCGCGCCTCCCCGTACCTGGCGCCGGAGTGGCCACTGCCCGTCGCTGCCTCCGACGTCTGTGCTCGCCATCGGAGCCGTCTTGCTCGTTTGCCCACTTCTCTCTCCTGCCCCTCTCTCTGTCTGCTCCCCGTCTCCCGGCCGCTGCTTTCTCTTCGCCGACTCCGCCTGCACGACAGTCTCGCCCTGCGCCTATCAGGCCGTCGCGTTCTGCGCCTTGCCTTGGAAACACGTCTCTTCCAACAAAGCCTTCTGCGCCGTCTCTCTCGCCTGTCACCCGCCTCACCCCCAGGTCACACGTGCGCCCAAATACGACGTTTGTCGCGTGGTGGTTGTACCGCCAAATATCGACGCTTTCACATTTGCAGTCCGGTTCTCCCGTAATGTAGACGGTTATTCTCTACCTTGGCTGCCAGGCGTGTCCACGACCCACCCTTCACAAGACAAGGTCCGTCCGTCTGTTGCCCGGCGTTTGTTTGTTACCATGTCCTGCCCTCACAGATGCTCTCGAGCTATACTCGTCTACTCTATGCATTATACCGAAATCCCCTTTCGTTCCCAGTCGTTGTATGCGCGTTCTACCAGGATCGCGCTCACATAACTTGTGCTATACGTAGTCTCAGTGCAGCGCGAGGTTGCGATATGCGCTTTCTTTGTCGAATGGGCGTACAGGGACTCGCTCAGCCGATGGTCGTCTGTGCAGAAGCGGTCAGATGGCGGAAGCCACGGGATAAGACGAAGTAGCTACATAATTCTATACGTTTCGGACTATGTCAATCAACAGCGACCAAGGTTGAAACGCTCCCTCCGTCCACACCTTGTGTCATGGAGTACATCCACCTCTTCTTCACGTCCTCCAAGTACATTGTTTGAATCAGGCCCCCGTCGTGGCAGCGTTCGGTCACACCAAGCAAAACAAGGCCCGCAACTGATAGACAACTATATTCACATGGCATAGTATATGATATCACAACCCTAGCTGAACAAAGTGCAAGACACATCACAACAAACGATCGTACACTAGATGCGTAACAGGAGCAGATACGAGACCCGGAAGGTAAACTGCTCAGCAGAAGTACATCACCTTGCTGGCTCGGCTGTGCAACGGCTTGAAAGCAGCACGGTACTCTTCCAGCTGCTCGGTCCCGAGAGTCCCTGATTCTTCCAGCGATAGCTGCTGGGTTCCTTCTGGATCGAAGCGGAGCTTCGCCCGCGCACACACCAGGTCCGCATCTGGAACGTCGTCATGCTTGTCAGCCCCGCCGTGTAGCGAGAAGAGTCCGCGCACTCACAGTAAACCGGAGCAGGGATAGATACCGAAAGCGTCGCGCGCGCGAAGACATGGCATAGCGCGAACGACAGCGATTGAATGCTGTCCGGCGTGAACCCGTTCTCGTCGTAGAGGACGGAGTAGTGCGCAGAGCGCGATGTGCCCTGGATTGTGTATACCCGAAAACAACAGATCGCGTCAGCGTGGGTGGTGAAACCAAGGAGCAGCGAGGGTACGTATCCACGGTGGCTTTGGAGGTAAAAGTCGAACTCCAGAGGATGCGTGATATCGTTGTCGACAACGAGACCTGCGGGGCAATTGCCACTGCCGTCCATCTCGTGCCTGCCGGCATCGCTCCGCGGGAAAAACCGGACGTGGTGGCCTTTTGCGACGATTATCAGAGTGATTTTGGGGTTCACGTGTGCCCTCTCGCACGCCCCTACGGAGTGGAAGACGTCAGCCAATCGGGGTGAAATGCGCCTAGAGGATCACTTACTCTTCAGCTGTGGCAGTTCTACGTCACGGCCACGATCCTCATCAGCTCAAAACATCTATAGTACAGTGGCGTTCACTGACCGTAGTCCAGCACCTGTTGGAATTCTCCCTCGGAGACGCCGTCGCGGTAGAAGATAAGCCGCGTCGGCGCGGGTGTCTTCTTCTCGTACACCTGGAAGCTCTTGAAGAATTCGATCTGGCTTGCCGCCATCTCCTCCAGACCATCAATTGTCTCCTGCCTTTCACGTTGCACGCGGCACTCTGCGGTGTACTTTGACACATTAGAGTCGATGTTTCCAACCAACGAGGCGAAGGACGGGCGGCCCTGGGTTCCTGTGGCAGGGTGAGCGATGTCCGCACTGTAGATGGATAAGCTACACCGATGCGTCGAGGTATCACATAACACGTACCCCATGACGATCGTAGGGTTGACGGGATCGTTCAGTACTGGGACCGACCGTCGATCTGCGATCGAGTTGATTCCCCCGAGCTTCACATTGATCCTGGAGATCCGGAGTCAGAACAGCTACAGAACGCGGACGAACGTGAGGGTGTACTTCAAAGAGACGTTGGCATAGTATTGCGGTTTCGCTCCCTTGCACTTCGCGCTGGCGAGGCACTGCGTGGCGACGCCTTGCTTACAGTCACCGAAACTTGCCACCGCAAGGTCAACACATGCAAGACGATATTAGGGAAGGTGACGCACTGCTTCACCGCCGCGTACATGTCCGCAGATAACTGGGGGAGAACGACGACAATCAGGTTGGGGCCGCCCGCGCGTTTGTTCTTAGCCACGCAGTCAGCCCCCGCCTTGTGGAGTTGCTACAAGATCGGCGGTGAGCTGTCGCACATCCCCAGCCCCGTGTGTGTGAGCGCACTCACCTCTGAGATCGATCCGTTGGCTTGATGGTAACGAATAATAGGGTCTTTCTCTGCGACAGTCATGCCTATGTCGCTCCTGCGTTAGTCGGAGTGATTTCCTACTCGCTAGGTGGCGCTCACCAGCAGCTTCAAGGGCTGTGATGAGCCCCTGCACCATCATTCGTGCATCTTGTAACGTGTACCGTTGCTCGCGCTCGTAGATCACGACCGCCCATCTGTTCACCGGCATGGGGCGATAAAACTGTTTGTCAATCCTAGAGTAGTACCGGACATCAGTTCAGTACGTCAAAGAATGGAGCACGCCGGCTGCTTACAGGTTCCACCGCCCACCAGTGGGTTTCTTTAAAAGTACATCGTTAGCAGGAGGTGGATGGCAACGAATTCGCAAGGTGCCTACCGTGGAAGGCATCTTGCTTGTTGGGGAGTATAGAATTGTAGGCGGGTCGAGAACGCGTCCTTTGATAGTGAGGGGATCGTTGCTGGCAAGGTGCATGCCGAATTGCTGCTCGCGTGCTCGTGAGTATGATTGCTGCGCCTCCAAAAAATACCACACATACCCGAACGTACTCGGACTGGCCATAATCCAACACTCCGAGGGCGTTCACAACACTCGCAAGACGTTGCTGAGGAGGCTGGGTGGAGAACTTGACCATCTGATCCGTCTTCTCTGGCGGCAGCTGCTTTCTCAGGATCTGTCCCGGCGGAATGAAGCAGCACTCCATCGGAAACACCCCCGTCCCAATCTACGTGCGGACACCATCAGCTGACATCGGAGCTGCCCTGCACCGGTCTACGCACCTGCACACAGAGTACCCCGGGGTTCTGCACCGTGTAGTTGTGCGCATTCTGGAAATGCTGCGCGACAGAGATTACCTGGCCGGTAGCCAACGTGAACGTGTGCGCGTTTGCACCGAGCCTCGACAGCCCCTGCACGACGCGCGGGTGGCGCCGCGCCTGCGGCCCTTGGGGGACCGTGATCTGAACGCGCACCCCGCGGAAGAACCGCTCTAGTGTGACCCGGTCTCGGTCCGTCAGCGCGCCCGCGGGGGCGGGCACCAGGGCGTGTGCGCCCTGCCTGCCGAGCGCGGCGAGCGCGACTTGGATCATAGGGCCAGGAGCATACATGACGGCCGCGGAGATGTCGACGTTGATGAGCATGCGCCCGATTGCGGGGCGCACCGACTGGAAGTAACCCCGCCACAGGTGCATGCCACTGCCGATGTCGACGGAGCCTTGGTTCGTGAAAAAGGACCGTGTGTTGAATGGATACCTGCTGTACGGCTCCATCCGCACGGCGACGTTGAGAGCCTGCACCAATTTCTGAGTTTGGTACTATGCGTTCGCGAAGGCTCGAAAGGGGGCGTACCGTGATCGCGGTCAAGACGGCCGGCCCTTGCGACTGCTTGCCCTGCAGGAAGCGTGCAAGGACTCTATCGAGTCATCTGCGTCAGCAGCGTCCGAGCGCGATCGAATGGGAATGGACGTACTCTGGATTGATCTCGGCGACGTGCTGCAGCGCCACCGTGTACATGCGAGGCGCACGCGGTGGTCGACCTCCAGGCGCAGGCGCGGCCTGTGCTTCTCCAGCCGAAGGTTGATCGACCAGCGAGAATCTGAACTGATTCAAGACTCGTCAGCTTGCGAGCGCAGAAAACGGACGGGGTGCGATGCTCACTTCGTGGAACTCTCCGGGTGGGTCGAACACGAGTTTACCTGTCGAGTACAAGTTCGCGCGTCCGTCGTACACTGCGCGGGGGGTGAATGTTCCTGGCGCGATCTGCGTTTGGAGTCGGTGGACGATCTCCCTGTTCATGCGCGGAGGGAGAGGCTTCGCGGATCCGGTTATTTCTATTAGGTCGGTATCAGCAACTAGCCTTAAAGACAAAAAAGCCGACTTACTGACTAGAAAACCATCGCGTCCCAAGCTCAGTAAGTAATCAGCATTATGTAGGAGACAGTGCAAGCGTACCGTCATAGTGATGGATGTAGCCCTCTGGGATTGAGACTTCGAAGTGGTTCGTCTTGACGAAAATCTCGCTGCCGCTCGTGCCGAAGCTCGGCCGCTTCACTCCAACAGCGGTTACATGTTCGCCTTGTTCAGGAATTCCTCCCCTCGTTGATGCCGCAGTGACACTACCTCCTCCAGCGGGCGGATAGCTGCCTCGAGTTGAAGGCGAACCCCTTCCGTCGCCTCGTCCCCGCCCACGGCTTACATCACCTCGTCCCCGGCCTCGGTCCCCACTGTCGCCTCGTCCCCGACCTCGGTCTCCACTGTCGCCTCGCCCCCGACCTCGGTCTCCATCCCCTCTCCCTCGCCCTCGGTCCCCGTCCCCTCCCCAGGTGCGAATTCCCCCAGACGTGCCGCTGGCGGAAGAAGCTCCCCGAGATGCACCGCGTCCGCGAGGATGCATGGTAAAAAGAAAAGAAACTGGAGGATATTCTCTTGTGCGGTGGTAGTGCAGATGAAGGGGAGAGAGGCAAGAAAGGATTGCAAAACTTCCGACCGAAGTGGCGTATTTATCGAGGCACTGCGGCAAGGAGTCGAGTCAGCGCCAGACGCTGCAGCAAGGATGCTAGCACGCTGCGGTGCTGACGTGTGGACTCACTGCAGAACCCAATGACCATGTTGGTACGCAGCGGACGCCATTGTGGATGAGGCCACGACAAAATCTGCGGTTGGCGTCAGCGCCTCGGAGAAATGCCGCAGCCGTTGTACACACGTGCGCGACGGAAGGCCAAGCCTCCGAGATGGTTGAACAGCTGCAGCGTGGACGTGCTGCGGTATAATTCTCGGCTAGTTCCAGTCCGAAACATGCGCGATATGATCTCACACTATAAGCTCGAATTCGGGCCAGGCCCCCTGAGCTGGTACCGCTTGCTAGCTCTTGGTGTAAGACTGACGCGGAGGCGTACGTCACCAAATGGCTACAAGTTGAGACCGGCTGCGCGGCGCATGAGTGCGCCGACAGCTCATATCCTTGAGGAAACCACTTCGTCAGCTCGTACCAATTCAGACAAATCTCACTACTCACCGATGAACTGCAGTTTCCCGAACCTGACCGTGCTCGATGTTCATGATGGCGGCCCAGTAGTCAACGTTCGCTGGACGCGACCTTGATGGTGCCGACGATGCGCGCGAACGACTTGTTCTCTGAAGTCGAGGACATTTCTACGGCGTGATTTACGCTTCGCACCACTCTTCCAGGTCGATGGCGATGTCGTATCGCGTGTCCAGGATGTCGGCGAAGCAGACGGAGAGGTCAGGGACAACAGCGATAGTGTCTCGTACGGTTTCTTCAATTGCAGGGGACCGTGAAGGACAGGTCGAGGATCCTCAGCGCATGGCACGCGCCATGTTCTGGACGCGAAACGACGCCCTCCACGACGCTCCTTGAGATCTTCACCTGCACGCGCGATGAGAGTGGGTTCGAAGACCCGAGTGTAAAACAACACATCGTATGTCTGGTGATCCAGCTCCTCCCGTGTTGCGGTGCGACTCGAGCTCTTCGCTCGGAATGCAGCGAGATGCCGCCAATGAACTGTTCGGGTATCTCAGCCGCTGTGCGCACACCACAGAATCTCCGAAGCTGTATGTATATGGCGCACGCAGAGGCCGTGTGGGTCCCCCGGGAGAGAGGATCACGACCAGGACGTGTCTACACGGCGCAGTTTCGCAGCGCTGGCCTCTACAGGCAGAATGAGCGCCAAGAATCGCAATGGCAGAGACGTTGGCGAGACTTGCGTTGCCGAACATGTTGGTGGGGATGAAGGAAGGAAGAACTCACCGAGTGGAAGTGGTGAGTGAGTCCGTACATCACTTGACGTACTCTTCGCCAATGAGCGTGCCAGAGTCTCATCTTGCGTTCCGCAAAGTTATGCGGGATAGAGGCAACGAGGTCAAGATGGTATAGACAGCGGGATTGGCGAAGAGGCGCAAGAGGCGAGCGCGGCGACTGGTCGATCTGTGAGACGGCGAGCACGAGTGAAGCCCTGCGTGGGTAGTACAATTTAAGACACCCGACAATCCTGAGGTGTCGTAGCAGTCATGGAGCAGTCATAGATCATGATCAATTGGCGAGATGAGTGTTTGGAGGTACGGGACGGGTATTCGCGATGGGATGCTGCAAATGATGCAAGTCCTAACCCCGAAATGGGGTTCCCCATGAGGCTGGGTTTATACGCCCTAGCACTGACTGTCGGCGGATCGCTCTCACTCTCATGGCCGTGAAGACGATGGTTACGCAAGATCTAAGAGGGCGTGGTTGGGGCGTAGAGGGGATGACGGCCGATCCGGGACATGGGCAACGGCAGCAAGCGCCCATTCCCCCTTCGAGCCACCGAGGCGGCTTAGCAGCGTTGCCTCTTGCCGTGATCTCCCAATCGACCTCATCCGTCTCTCCCTCGGGGCGCTGGCCCGTTTTGTCCGCTTAAACCCCACGCGCTTCCCTCTCGAGATGAAGGTCCGATATACGCGAAAAGATGACAGTGCACGATTCGCCGCTTGGCAAGGGTTTTTGCGAGCAGCGCTCCACCGGACACATGTTCCAGGAGTTCTTGGGTGGCGGTCAGTTTGTAACGGGAGCGCCGTCTCAGTGCTTTATAAATCGTTTCCCGTCAGTGATTCAGCAAGGCTGGGGGGAGGAGAAGGGGTGACGCTACGCTGTTGATATCGTGAGTATGCTTCACCGTGTGCGTCTGCATTATCCACTCTCAATCAGTCCTGAAGGCCAAGCTCGCAAATGCGGTCACGGACACAGCCATCATTCGCAGTCCCGCCTCCGACTCATGGCTCCTGTCCGCCTCGCCCACCTGTCTCCCTGTAAGAAACAAATGCACACCTTGTGAGCACTAAGCTCCCAGTGTTATCCACACGTTCGCGCTCTGCTACTTACCCGGGCCGTCCGCAGTTACTGATGGCATGGACGGCCTCTCCGCCCATGCGAATCTCTTGTCGTTCGGCCACCAAATCACGACGAGACAGTCTCATCCACGCGAATTCGCGAGTGACTTCGTATGGTGGGCCGTGCAGCGACGCTGGCCGAAATATCCGTATCCAGCGCGGAGTGGACAGTCTCCGCTCCTCGGCCGCACCCCGAGCACTACAACGCAGTTACGCACCGCGCCTCGCGCCGGTAGCCAGCGCGCCGAACCGCGCAGCCAGCCGCTTCCAAACAACCCTCCCGCGATTGCTTTTTGAGATGGTTGTCATTCACGTACTTACTCTGCCAAGGTTTCATCGTCTGTGTGCGCGCTGGTATCTTCCGATACAGGCGATCTTGGTGAGCCTCGTGTGATCCTCCTGTGCCCATCCGTCGTCCGCTGATCGTCAGGCTTTCTAATTCCAGCCCAAGATTCCGTCCTCCTTGCGGCGCGGCGGCCTCGAGGCCTGAAAAAACGCTTCTCACTTACATTTCGCCCGTTCGTATACAGGCCCTGACGTATCATCGTCGAGCTCCCGTCTATTCGTTATTGTGCGTCCACACCCCGTGCTCGCAAATTGAAGGCAATTATAACAGTTACTGACGCACAGTAGTACAGAGCCTCCCATTGTCACGAGCGGAACAAGAATCCTGGCCTGTTCAGGCCTCTTTTCCGGGTAATGGGCCTCTTGCCAATAGACACCGCTTCGAATGCACACGACATGGTTCCCCTCCGTTTTCTCATCCGTCTGTTGCAACTTAAAGCCATCTTCTCTTCAGAATTAGACGAGTATCGCGAAGTTATGGCAAGCACCCTGACGATGTCCACTCCGTCTACGCATGGCCATCGCTAGAGAATACAATCTCGACCTCTGATCTCCCGCGACGGTGTGTTGCCTTCTGGATGTTCTCCACTTGACCCCGCATACCCCACTTTAGTCACCGCCCCGGGCTCAGCCTGTGGTCCACGGAAGCGGCTTCAAGACCGCAAGGGATTGCTGTGGGCCGAGGAAGTTTTGGGGGACAAAACTAAACAGCCCGTGTTATGGAAGCCAACTGGAATGTCGTCGTGAAGACCTACTAGCAGCGGGTGGCTCCCGACGTCACGTCAGTCACCTGCGAGTGCGTACGTACGACGGATGATAAAATGGTTAGGTTAGCCCGATTATGGTAATCGTCCCCATAGCCGTGTCCCGCTGTCCGACTTGCGCGAGCTACTCGGACGTTCTCTTCGCATCCCAGCTCAGAGAACGGTGACTGATTCTAGTATATATACTGGCCCGGGCTCCAAAGAACGCAATTCCTCCCTTTCCCTCGAGCTCACCTGTGCCCAACCGCCCGTACGTATCGTCTCTCCTCTTCTCTTTCTCTAGGTGTTCTATTATCAATCGCCGACACCCGTCACTTGGGACGACGACCTCCAAGACCGAGACAGAGGGCGAGCTCGTCGCCATGCCCATCGACAGTCCACCCGCCCAACCGCGCTTCCGCCTGGCCATCGTGTGCGTCCCCCTCGTTTCTCCGTCTCATTTCTCGCCTGATGTGTCCTGCTTCTCAGCGGTGCCGGAATAGCAGGCCTCACGCTCGCGATCGCGCTCGGGCGATTTGACGATCCGGCGTCGCCCATTGAGATCGACATATATGAGTCCGGGCCCGAGATCACGACTGTTGGTGCGGGCATATCCGTCTGGCCGCGGACGTGGGCAATCATGCGAAGGCTCGGACTACACGACGAGCTCATGCAGGAAGCGGTGAAAGGCAGGGGGGAGACGAAGAAGAACCAACACGAAGCGAGCACTCTACATCAAGCGGGCGGGGATGATGGAGACTGCGAGGGGACATGGAGTAAGTCCACAGTGCATACACCACAGAAGGTGCTGAGATCCGCTCCAGGACCGGCCTTCGTGTGCCGCAAGTCGGACTGGCCGCGCGAGGGCTTCGAGTTCGGGCGCATCATGGTCCCAGGTCGGTCCCCCTCCTCTCCCGCTTGCTCTCTTCCACGCTTACACTCGCCCGCACAGATGGCGCGACCACGATGCACCGCGCCAACATGGTCCGCGTCCTCGTCCGCCACCTCCCCGCGCACTGCACCGTCCACACCACCAAGCGCCTCGTCTCCTACAACCCTCCCTCGCGATCCTCCACGGCCACCAGCGGCGCATACACCCTGCACTTCGCCGATGGTACCCACGCATCGGCTGACGTCCTCGTCGGCGCGGACGGGATCAAGTCCGCGGTGCGCAGCGCCATGTACACGCACGCGCACGCTCGCGATTGCGACAGCACACCCATTGCGGCATGCGCGCGCTGTGCGCGCTCCCGCCCGAAGTGGACGGGCACGGTCGCGTATCGGTACTTGATCCCGACGGAGCGACTGCGTGCGGTTAACCCCGCGCACCACGCGCTGCATGTGAGGGCACCGATGAGCGTGAGTGCTGGTCTGGCTGCCGTCGTCTTGTTTGAGGCTGACGCGCTGTCTGCAGTACTCTGGCAAAGGGAAGGTACGCGCTCACAAATCTACAGGGAAGACTCGCGCAGGTGGCTGATTTCGCGAGAAAGCATATCATCACGTTCCCGATCTCGCACGGGCAGTATCTCAACTGGATCGGCTTCGTGACGCGGCCCGGGAAAGAGGGCACCGAGTACCCGCACAAGTGGGTGCTCGACGCGGACCAGGACCACGTCGTGCGCGAGTTCACGGGCTGGGAGCCCGAGGTCGACCAGATGATCGCCGTGCGTCTCCCTCTCCTCGCGCGTTCCGCGCGCATAGCTGATTCACTCACGCAGTGCGTGGAAGACCCGAAGCTGTGGGCGATCCACGACATCGAAGACCTCCCGTTCTCCGTTTCCGGCAGAGTCGCCCTGATCGGAGACGCGGTGCGTGCAGCATCACCGTGCCTCTGGACGCGCACGCCCACTCACCCAGCCGCGCTCTCGCAGGTGCACGCCATGACGACCCACCTGGGCGCAGGCGGCGGCCAAGCGATCGAGGTCAGTGCGCTCCGTCCCCCTCCTACCTGTCGGGTGCTGAGCGCCATGCCCACGCAGGATGCGTACCTCCTCGGCACCCTCCTCACCGACCCGCGCGCCTCCCCGTCGCGCCTCCTGCGCGTGCTGGAGATCTACCAGGCCGTCCGACTCCCCTTCGCACGCGCCGTCGTCCAGAACGCGCGCACGGTCGGGCTCATGTACGAGTTCAACTCGCCCGGGCTGTACGCCGCGGACCCCGCGCACGGCGAGCCGACAGCGGTGGGCGTGCGCTCAGGGGAGAAGGACCGCGGGCGCGAGGCGGCTGCGGACGTTGACGTGGACGGGCTGAAGCGGCGGTTGGGCGAGCTCGATCGCGCGATCTGTGAGATGTGGCAGTGGCAGTGGAAGGAGAAGGTGGAGGAGCAGTGGGAGGAGGCAGGGCGCATGATGGACGAGCTGGAGGGCCGTGCGGCTCCTCCTCATCGGCGATTGGAGAGGTAGTGTGTCGTCGCATGAGCTGTGGCACGCTGCGCGCGGCCTGGTATGTACCGGTGCAGTCGGGCCGACGGCGCGGCGGAAGTGGTACAAAGATTTCACTAGTCCTGTCAGACTGGCATGCTTCTACGTAGTGTTATAGTCTAGCACAAGACGAGTACGCTCAACGAATCCCCGCTTCATCACCAAGACTGGCCCCGCGACCTGCCGACTCTCAATCTCCTGTCGGCGCCCCACCGTGACCGCCATCCTCGTACTGGGTGTGCCGCGTGCGGATCTCAAGGTCCTCGTAGTGCGTCTTGACGCGCGCCTCCACTGCGGGGTCCTTGCTTCAAAGGGCGGGGCTTGTAGAGTCGGACAGCAGTATGTGGCGCTGCCAGCACTCCATCTCGTGCTCGGCGCGAGGCTTCAGAACCACCCACGCGATCTCACGCAAGATCGCGACCCCAAAACAAAGGATCCGGTGCGGTCGAACGCAACGGAAACCTTGACGAGAGAGCCGCCCATCTCCATAAATCTGACTCAGTGAATCAGCGCCACTGGATGTCGGGATGCGCTAGGAAGAAGGTTCCGGAGAGGACGGTATGAGTGGACGCGCGGCGGGACGGGGAAGGCGGCGGACCTGTAGCAAGATACGAAGCCAAGTATTTCCTGAGCGTGGCGAAGTGGGGGCGGGGAGCGACGCCGAGGCCTGGCGAGCCGGTTCGATCGTCCGTGTGGCAAATCAACCAACGTGGCAAAGCAACTAGGGGAAGGGATGAGTCTCGAGAAGCTTTCCGGGCCCGGAGTTAACAAGTCGCATTGATAAAAATAGACGAAGCTTGGGATTGTGGTTAAAATGTGGAAGGTGAATGTATGGAGGAGGATGGAGGAGAGAGACGTACGGATGCGAGACAGCGACAAGACAGCAGGTAGGCTGCACAGCGTGAAGGGAACTCTGGTTTGCGGGCGAGGAGAGCGTCAGACGAGCAAGCAGGGTTAGAGGATGTGAACTCACGTAGCGAGCGTTGGCTCGGAGAGATGCGCACGGCACAAAATCGCACGTCCTCATGATCGCCTGCTGCCTGACGTCGTCGACAGTGTTGAACGGCAGTGGAGAAGGCGCTGGGGTGCCAAAGAACCATAGCCGCGGTGGGGTCCGACAAGGGTGGCAGACAGGCGGTCTGCTCGATAGGAAATGCTTGGGCGTCGCGAAGAAAAGAAGGGTGTTACGCGCGAGGTGATGAGCCTGCTGAAGTGCCGTGGTAGTGAGTAAACCGGAGGGAAATGGTGGAGCAGAAGGCGGCATGCGCACGAACGACTTGTTTTCTGAGGTCGAGGACATTCCTATGGTGCCTCTCAGCGGAGCACTTTGCAATTGGTGCTTCATATTGCTCTTCCACGTCGATGACGATGTCGTCGCGCGCGGGTCTGGGACGACAGTGTTGCAGGGGACCGCGGAGGACAGGTCGAGTGTCCTCAGCGCATGACACGCGCCATGCTCTGGACGGGAAGCGACGCCCTCCACGACGCTTGTCGAGATCTTCACCTGCACGCGCGCGATGAGAGTGGGTTCAAAGACCCGAGGGTAAAATAACGCACCGTATGCCCGGCGATCTAGCTTCTCCCCTGTTGCGATGCGGCTCGAGCTCTTTTTCCCGCTCGCTCGGAGATGCAGCGAGATGCCGCCAATGAGCTCGTCCCAAGCTGCAGAGTATATCTCTGGTGCGCGCAGAGGCGATACAGGTATTCCGACGCGCACGACTTGTCTACGCGTCTGAGTCCGTACGCTCGGGCAGCCCTGACCTTTACGAGAAGAATGAGCGACAAGAATCGCAGTGGCCGAGAAATGTTGGCGAGACTTGTGTTGCTGGACATGTTGGTGGGGATAGAGGAAGGAAGAACTCACCGAGTGGAAGTGGTAAGTGAGCCCGTACACCACTTGGCGTACTCTTCGTGGACGAGGGGCGACCATGAACGCTTCAGAGTCGCATCTTGCGCTTCGAAAAGTCATGCGGGATAGAGGCAGCAAGGTCGAGATGGGATAGACGGCGAGGTTGTCGAAGAGAGTGCGAGAGGCGAACGTGGGGGCTGGTCGATCCGTGAGACGGCGAGCACGAAGGAAGCCTCGGGTGGGCAGTAAACTTGGAAAGAACTTGACCATTGTGGGGGCTCGTAGCAGACACAAAGCAGCCATGGAGCATAGATCGGCGAGATGGGTGTTTGGAGGTACGCGACAGTATTCGCGGTGGGCTGCCAGGGAGGAAGAGATGCAAGACCTAACCCTGGGACGAGGTTCCCTAAAAGGCTGAGTTTATCGCGCGCCGAAGGACTCTCGTCGGATCGCTCTCACTGAGAGTGACTCACTCTCATGACTGAAAAGTCGTTGACATCACCCACATTCAACGTTGAAGAAGCTGCAGTTGCCAGTCTGCATTCTGCTCACCACCTCGTATTCTCATCCTATGCTCGCACACGAGATTGTTGGCCTTGTTAGCGTCGTCGACCACTACGCGCTCTTCGCGCTGCACGCCTGCCGCGTCCGGCCTCACACCCGTCATTCAAGTCAACAGCGGAAACATTGTCCCAGTGCCGCAATCTAGTACGAGGTCGCGCTCGCGAAGAACGTGTTGACGTTGAGTGGGTAGTGTGAAAATGGTTCCATGCGTGCGGCGAATTTAGAGCCCGACGTCGCTCGAAAGCAAAGAGTTGTATACCTAACCAACCTTGATCGGCGCATCTTTCCGCGTACGTCTGCGACAGACTTATGCCCCACGATCCGGAGCCCGAAATCGAACCCGACGAGGATCGTCTTTATCACCGCCTGGACGCCCTGCTGCCCGGCGATCACAGGCCGGTACGCGTGCGCCCGACCGACTGCGGCGCGGGGGAGCCGTCCTCAGCACTCGCCAAGACGGAAGACGGAGGGGAGGTGGACTCACATAAGACGGTATGCGCCCCGAGGAGCGATCGCGGGGAAGATGTCCCCATCGGAGCGGATGCCGCCGTCCACGGGTACGGCGAACTCGTTCGACGCCTGCGGGGACTTGACTTCGGGCGACTGCATTATGCGCTCGAGCGCGGGGGACTTCTGGGGCTAACTTGATTACGATGCGCACGAGGGAGACGGGAGGAAGGATATACCATGGTTCGGGACAATGGTCTCGTTGATACCCTCGTCAATTAAGATATCCATAACCTGAGCACAGAGAGATCGGTGTACGCTCGATAAGTAGAGATACGAAGACGTACCTCGGGAGTGAGGATGCCCTTTGAAGACCAACGGCCCCACCCAATGCTTGCGCATGCCCTGAATGTTATCCCACGTCCTGGATATTTCATTCACTGCTTCGCTATTCCACGCCGCCGCAGACCTTAGCAAGTTGATAAGTGCGTCACCGGCCTCGACAAGCTTGTCGACCTCTGCCAGATCATATCGGATCGCAAGGGTCTCGTGTGCATCGAGGCCACGGAGCCGCGAGTCGTCATGCATCCCATGTATTGGGATACGCTCTGGGTTCCGCGTCGGCGAGACACCACGAGATGGCTGCATCAGTAATTCTGCACAGCTCCTGGAGGCCTTGAGATCCTTGGCGCCCTAATTCCAGGGTTTCCAGGACTCGCCAGGACACCTGGAAACACACGGGTGGTCAAGCTGGCGCTGTGCACTACCTGCGGGCATAGTATGGCCCTGAGGTCTTCGACTCATGTACTTAATGATTATTTGCAGCTATATACACATAATTCTATGTGGTCGTCGAGTTCCTGGCCTTATGTGCGCACACGGTCCAGGCTAGCACCGTGTTAGTGCCCGCAACAACGACAACCATGGCAAGCACGGTGCGCCACTCTCCGGGCGGAGCGCCCTCTCGGTGCTCGCGCTCGTTGGGCACCCAGAGAGGACGAGCGGGTCCGTGTCCACGCTCCTGCTCGAGTGGTGCATCGGCACGACTACGCTTGTGCCAACTGCGCTCACCACCGTCTCCTGCGGGCCCGTTCGGGCGCGGCTGCGGGCGTGCCGACCGGTCCAACTGCGCGGACGAGCTGAGCCTGTAGTGCATGACGTCGGAATGATGCTTGGGGGGAGCTCGGAGCCCGTCCCGGGCGCGTGGCCCGTCATTGGGAACGGGTCACGGAGCGGGGGGAGTAAGAGTGTGGGCGGCTCGGTGGTACCATCGATCATGGCAGTGTGGAAAAGTGGGCGGAGTCGGGGACGACTGAGCTAATAGGGCGCCGGGGGTGGGAGCTCGAAACCCTGGTGCTTGACGAAGACAACGAGGAGGAGCTTAACGGCGAGGATGGCGAGGGCGACGAGGGGCTAGGCGATGCGGACAGGATCGCCAAAGCGGGTGAACTCGTGGGTGAGATACTTGGGCTCGCGGTGGTGCGGGGTCTCGACCGAGTGCTGTGGTAGGTGGTCGGGTCGTCGTGCTCACGACCTCGCCTGCGCAACACGGTGTCCTGCTTCCACATACGTGCACTTCGAGAGACGTCTGTCCGACGCGAAGCCACGACGGTGGTCACCACATTCGTGGCCGCAACGACGAAGACCGTGATGGCCACAGGTGCACCGCTCTCCAGGCAGAGCGTCGCCCCCGTGCTCGCGCTCGTCGGGCGCGCCGCGAGGAGGACGAGCGAGTCTGCAAACAAGCTCGCTCCAAAGACGCGGACCGCGGCTAGGCTGCGCCGGGGCGGAGAAGGCCAAGGTACGACGGTCGGACGAGACAGCGAGACAGCGGGCGAGGCGTGCAAGTGCAACAACCCGAATTGTCCACCGTCCGGGATTACGATGTGCGCCCCCAGAGAAGCTCCGCCTCCACCGGCCGGCAAACGGCGCGCCACGCCGGCGCGGCGATGGCGATGTCGCATCCGTGGCGGTCGTGCTCGTTGCACTTGAACCATTTTCGATGCCAGCGCCGAGCTTGACGTACAGCGTATTTCAAGTGGCGGGGATGTTGCCGCAGAGTATCAAGACACGGAGTGTTCACTTGGTGGAGGGCGAGGAGCGGACTCAGCGTCATCCTCGACGACCGGGACGTCCACGGGCGGCCAGCGCGCACCGCGTCCACCCTCCAGCTCGAGTGGTGCGTCGGCACAACGACGCTCGCACCTGTCGTGCTCATCGTTCGGGCGCGGCTGCGGCTGTACCGAGCTGTCCCGGACGGCGCGGGCGACTGCCCGTGGACGTCGAGTTGATGGTGCTCGGGACGAGCTCGGTGCGCGTCCCGGCCCGTGTGTAGGCCATCATCGGGGACGGGTTACAAAGCGTCGGTGGGGGCGAGGGTGTGCGCTGGCCGCTGGGGGCACGGGTGGCGTCGATCGCAGCGTTGACGGAGAAGTGGGGGGAGAGTAGGGTGGTCGGCTGGCATTGGGGCGGAGTGCGCTCAGGTGGCCTCAAGCAGGGTGAGTAGTGCGGCCGGGCCTTCAAAGGACTGTCTACCGCCTCGCGCGCGAGTCGCGTCTGCTCCTTGGTCGACGGCTTGGAGAGCTGGGTGAGGTGGTTGAGCAGCAAACGGGCGTCGCTAGAGAGGATGAGACCGTGGGCGGCAGTTGACGGCGGCGAGGGAGAGAGCTTGAGCTTGAAACGCGTTGCGCGAGTCCTTGGGTTCGAGCGCCGTGTTCGACGTCATTGAGGGCCCAGAGGAGGGTGTGAATGGCGGAAGCGAGGACCGGTGTGCCAGTGCCACCTTGGTCGGCTGGTGCACAAGCTGTTGGAGCCGGTGTTAAGAGATGTCCAAGGTCAAGCAATGAAGGGGTGGCTCGTACGCGATGACACCACACTTGTCCTTGTCAATGTAGTGCACCATTCGGATTATGTGCTTGGTTTCCCATGAAGAGCGGCACCGTGACCGCGAGAAGAGATCAAGAGGAGACGGTTCAGGAGTGGTGGACCGTGACGGCCGTGGCAGGGGGTTGGAGGGCTGAAGCCGAAGCTTTGTAGAGGGTCGGGGTTAGGGTGTGGGCCAGGCGGGGGGGCTGAACATGTTGGGGGGCAAATGAGGTGCGCATTGGCAACGAGGTGCGTGAGGTCAATGAGGAAGAGAGTGAGAACACGAGCGCAGACGGCGATGAACGTCCTTGACGCGTCACGCGCGACGATTTGGGCGCTTTTGACTCGCGCAAATTTGCCAGCTCACCACCACCACCGTTCTCCACTAGCACAATATTCTCCTACTCTTGCCCTTTCCCCTCTCGCCCTCATCTCTGCTGACTCGGACGTCGGCATGAAAGCCGAGGTTCTGGACGACCTCGCCATGTGCACCTGCTGCTCCCGTAAGTCCACGCTCGCAATTCACGGCGCACGCACGCACCGCACCGCAACGCACCTACTCATACTTGATTTCCTCCTCGACGTGTTCCCCATGCTTGCCCTCCGCCCTCCGCCCCACGCCGCTCACACTAGAGCTGCCAAGTCGCAAATTCAGATACCCAACAAATCAGCTCGACCTGCTCCAGGTCTGTGGGGACTTCATCAAAGTTGTTTTCCGCTCCACGCTTGTGCAGTTTGCTGTCACACCCGCGCCCACAGCCCCGTCGGCGTGTTGGGCACCGGAGCTAATGGGATCATCAACGACGTCCATATGGACACCGTAAAAGCCCCTGGCATCGCTGAACTCAAGATGTGGGGGAAGGAGCTCGTCAACTCGCCTGCAGGAAAATCACCGCCGCCCAGCTCTGTGAGTCCCCCGTCTCTCTTCTCCCTCTCCCTCTCCCTGTCGCCCCCGGCCCAGTCTCGCTCTCTGCCATCAGATCTCCCTCCGATATCCTATCACGCTCGTTCACCGCCCTCTCCCCCCCTCTCGCCCCACTGCTTCTGGCTCAGCGCTCATCCAGACTCCTTCAGCCTCCTCAGTTACACCCCCGCCTGCATACAACACTGTGTGCGCTCTTTGACCAGTACGGGGGCTCGTCCAACCCGAGCACGACCAGGGTTTCAAGCTCTACAGTGGCGTGAACGCATCCACACCCTGGGAGCATGGAATATGCCGCGCCTTTGTCTGGCCCCGGCGCCCCTCCTCCCGTGAAACACCCCGGCAGCGAACGAGAGGACGACCGAGGCCCCGGGCCGCCCACGGTCATTCCCTTTCTGTGAGTCTCTTCACCGCTCGCTTGTGAATCGCCGCTCATGGCATATGCCCTTCGTTCTGTCTGCTTCTACCAGCTATATACGTGCAGCCTTCCAACTCACCACTCCCCGCCTGTCCCAACGGACATTCGACTGATCGCTTCCCCCAGCTCCCCGTTCGCCACGTGCTTCCTCCACCCGGCCTCCACCCCTACTACTCTTACCCCGCCTGCCCGCATGGTGATCCCCCTACTCTCACGGGGACCACCCTCAGCCTCGACGCCCTCCGCTCCACTTCACGCGGACGGACGGGATGCCCCCGCAGCAGCTTCAGGGCGCGCACGGCCGCTCCTTGTCGCCCGGCGCCGCCGATTTCCACGGGTACGCGTCCATCCACGTACATTCCAGTCACCCAGAGACGGCCATGCAGGGCAGCCAGCAGTCGCTGTCGGGTCAGACGCAGACGGCCCACATCTTCAGGACTCCGCAACCGGGCCTGAGCGTCGAGAAGCCCATCACGACGATGGGTAAGTCCTCTTTCCTCCGCAAGCGCTGCGTAAAGCTTCACATCGACCGGCTCACGATCATCGCCCGATCGGCCAGGGAGGCTACGGCCCGGTCTTCTTTGCACGCAAAACGGACACACGCGAGGCATGCGCTCACAAAAGGATGAAGAAGCGGACGATCTTCAACATGGACAAGGTGAGTGGCTCGCCCGACACATCGTGTCTTCCCCGATACCGAAAGTCCCCTGCTCAGGCGACCGGGGCGCCATTGGGTGCCGCGTCTCAGTGGAATGCGGGGCTTGAGGCTGCCGCATCGATGTCGCGGTGCATACGCCCAGGCGTGGCCAGCGAGCTTCTCGTCAAGTTGCCGCCGACTGTCGAACTCGTGCTTAGGGATCTTTGCGACCGTGCGGGGTTGCGCAAGTGAGGTACCCGTGGGCCCATCCATTCCGCCGTGTCCAGCTCGCCGCGCTCGGTACACCTGACGGGTGCAGCTCGCTGCGCTCAACGCGCTTGCCACACTCAACGCGCCCGATGCGTGCACCGCGTCGCGCCTTACGCGTCGCGCTCAACGCGCCCTACATGTGTCGCTCACTGCGCTGTGACCTACGCAAGTGCGTGACCCGAACGTACCTTTTTCTGCACACCTACGATACCTGAGACACATCTAATTACCGTCTTGACATACTGTATCTGTGTTTGCTCGCTTTTGCTCCGCAGAGCTCCCCTACAGGCCATCCCACGACATGTGTTACCACTATCTTCCCTGTCCCTAATCGTCTATAGTCAATATAAGCATATTTCTAATGTACCGACTGCGAGAGCTTCAGTCCATCCTAATGCTCCTGGAATTCCTGGAAAGCGAGGTCAATGCAATCGCAATCCCCTCCTTGAATTCCTCCTTGATAGCCCTGAACCCTTGAGTACTTGCGGACCTGGAAAGTCCTTATCTGACCTGGAAACCCTGGATTAGGACTTTTAAGGAGCTGTGCACTTTTACTGATGCAGCGCCCGCTCAGTTTGGGCGTAGAAGTACCCAAAAGTCGATGATGGGTTCGAACTTTCCGGGCCGTCACGGACGGCCCGGTCAAAGTTCGAATCCACCGGACCAAACTTTCCGTCACGCCCCAAACGGCGGTTCGATCAATTCGAAATGGTACAGTACAGTCAAACCCCTCATAGCGCATACCTATCATAGTGCATACCCCCACATAGTGCATACCTTTGGCCTCTTCCCGAGTTGGTATAGGGGCATAACGCATACCCCCCCGCATACCGCATACTGCATACCTCGGCCGGGGGGTCCATAACGCATACCTGCCATATATAATCAGCATTAGCGCCTCGCATGTATGCCTTGCATGCCGCCCAAATGTGGGATAACCTTCCCATGTGCCCTTCTAGCAGCCTGGAATAGCCACACAAACCATCGGGACTGACCGGGGCTCACGCACGACTTGATCACACCCCCGGCCACCTTTGCCTGCCTCCGCAATGTATCCCTCTCGCCTTCCTCTAATCTGGTCTTAAGTGCTGTCCTCGAGAAGCAGGTGAAAGAGCGCCGAACGGCCCTTCAAGCTTCTCTTCAAGGTGGGAAAAACATCTCGCAGTCACTGATTACTTTACTCGTATTTAGTCTATGTAGGGGGGCGAGGTCAGATAACAAACGGGAGGAATGTGCGCGCGAGGAATGCGCGTGTGAGGATCAATGCGCGCGCCAGCCGCCAAAAAGGCGCGCTGCAGAAGGGCGTCAATGGGTCTCCCACGATGAGCGCTTCTCTCATACTGCATACCCCCACATAACGCATACCTCGGGGGCCTTCCCGAGGGGTATGCACTATGAGGGGTTTGACTGTATCGTCTGCCAGGTGAATACACTCACGCATCTTGCTACCGTGTCGTCTCGCCGGATGTGGCCGGCCCCCAGTCGCGGTACATAATCTCACACCCAACCTTGCATGGGAAAGAGAGCGCCAGGTACCCGGACAAGTGGACTTTGGACGCAAAGCGGGACAACGTCGTGCGCGAGTTCGCTGGCCAGTGGTGTGCCAGAGGTCGAACAGATGACCGCGGTACCTTTTCCTTCGCTCTCGTCGCTCGGTCTCTGCGTCGCTGACTCGAGCGCACGCAGGGGACTTGATGCGTAGACGCGCAGACGGACAACCCCGTGTCCACCCCCGCGCGGGCCATCCTGACGCGCATCTCGCCCGAGCGACCATGCGATCAAGGAGCACAATCGCACAATCGCCCCGGGGTGCGTCGTGCGACACCGGTGTCCGCGTCGTCCCTTGGCGCACGCAAGATGGGTAAATCCTCAGCGGCCGACTCGCTGGCTCGTGCACAGATACGAAGCGTCTTCAGCATGTTATGGAAATATACGCAGGCGTCTGGTTCCCGCTCGTGCGCGCCATCGCCAAGAACACGGTCAAGATGGGGCGCATGTACATATTCAACTCGCCTGGGCGGTTCGGCGCTAGCGCCGACCCCGCGCGCCGCGAGTCGAGCTGTAGTGGACCTGGTCGGGAGGAGAGCAAACCTGGGATCGTGACGCGCGCGACTTCGTGCCTCTCACCCGGCCGTCCCGACTCGCGCCAGATCAGTCCCAACTCTGAGGGGGAAGACGTCAGTGGCCGCTAAGCCTGTTGGATAGATAGGTCGCTAAAAAGTGAAAATAAGACGAAGAACGCATACAGACATTATACTCACATTTGAACAGATTATAGTGGCATTGCCGTAGAGATAAGACCAATCACTGCGGAGATGGGGCAGATTTCCCCCACGGCGACGTCGGTGTCGTACTGGTGTCGTGCGGGTGCCGTCTGCAAAGTGCAGGGTGAGTGAGCCGGCTGGTGTGGATGGAGCGGAGGAAAACAGAGGGCGAGGGTGACAGAAGAGGCACTTGGAGGTGTGGATGGCGCGGCGCGCGGGGAGGTGACGGAGGAGGACGTCAGCACGATGCACCGTTGTCGCGCCGTCTGCGCACGGACTTAGTGCTGTACGTAGGAACGGGGTGAGTAACAAAGACGGACCTAGGACCCGAACTTGAAGCCCTCGCGCGCCCAGTCCAACTTGCGGAACACAAAGATAGGCACTGGAGCCCACCTCCGCAGCAAGATGAATGCCCTTACCGACGGTCGTCATCAGTAATTTTGCAAATGTCTGGTTCTGCCTGGTTCTGCCTGAGAAAGCGAACCAGACAAAACCAGGCAGGACGGAATTTTTCAGGCAGCATTTCGTGGGGCGTCGATTCAGACAGGTTCAGACATGGTTTCAGACATGATTTCAGACAGTCAGGCACCAGACTCACTGTCAGAATGCGACTTCAATTGGAAGAAACAGCTCAAACTGGACGGGTAGTCTGTACTAGATCGATATATTAACCATTATACAAGAAACGATACACTAGGGACCTCGCCACCGCACACGAAACCGCCCACCCACCCTCCGCTCTATCGCTTCGGCACCACGCTCCCGTGCCTTCGCCGCCGACCGCCTCCGCTTGGACCTCCTGCACCACCACAAGAGTGCGCGCCATCTGCGTCTGCACGGCCTGCACGTCCCTTGCGAGCTGCTCCCGCGCGTGCCGGATGACCACCATCCGCGTCGCGAGTGCGACGACCTCCAGCCCGCCCGGTATGGGCGCCGAGCTAGGGGTGAGCATCAGTGGCGGCGGCATGTGCGTGTGCGTGTCTGTCTGCAGCTGCGGCTGCGGGAGGACGGGGCGCGCTTTCCTCACTCGCACCGACTGACGCGAACACCTGGTGTGCGGTAGCGTACGCCCACAACGTGTTCGCTGTGTCCACCCTCACGAGGCGCGAGGTCATGCCATTCATTCTGGCATACACGCCAGCTGCGGGTGCAGCACGTACGCGTGGAATGTCGCACGCGAACGGAGCTACGTATGCGCCGGGCGTTCGGATGGGACGAGTTCGAGGGTGGGAACGGCCCGGGGGAGTGTGGCGTGCTGCGCGTGTACGCGTGGGCTTGCGCGGAGGGCTGAGGGATGTCTTGGGGTGCGTCGGGCCCATGCGCGAGTATGGACGAGGACGGGTCGGTCTTGGAGACGCCGCGAGGGCCGGCGTCGTAGGGCAAGAGCGGCGAGGCAGGGGAATTTGAGGGGAGGCTGTGGACGCTTGATGCGGGCGAGACGGGGCACGAGCCAGGAAGGATGGGGAACGTGCAGGACGAGACCGGGCTCGAGCGGTGTAGACACCAGCTCTTAGGTGCACGGTGGTTGGTGGCCAGCGCAGCTGGAGCTGTGGTAGATGGGGAGGCGAGTAGGACACACGCGCATAGTTTGAACGTACTCACGTTTTATGATCGTCTTATCCTCCGACGTCGCGGGCTCGACGCTCTCCGGGCGGCGTTCAACATGGTGTTCACGGCGACGATGTGCGCCCCGACGGACGAGCTGTTGCGTGTGATGATGGCACGAAGGGAGAAGCCGCCAATTTTGGCGCATATATGCGCCAAAAACGGCGGGCCCAGACCATATAAAATGCGAAGGGGAATCGGCTTGGGACAGCGTGGTGGCGACCATGGGGCCTGATCATGTGGGAGATGTTGCCACGTGTGTGAGAGAGAGGAAAGCCAGTACATACCTCTTTCACCTCCAGTTCTTCCTCGCGTGAGCTCTGATGGCAGGATAAAGCTAAGATGGAGTCGAGATCAGTCGCTCGCAGGCACATATGGACTATGGACTTACAAGTCAGCATTCCTGGATATTCTTGCTCAGGTGGTCGAGGTTTTCGGCGCCCTCTGCGCGTGAGGTCCATTCCGTGCAGGAGAGTGTGGAGGGTGTAAGGGAAAAGAGATGCAGCGTTGTTTGGCGCCCGCTGCCTCTGCGACGCGTACGCGTACACGCGTCTGTTCGCACTTTGCCCTCACACAGCGTTGCTCTCATTCCTCATCGATCATCCCACATTTACCTCCGTCCTCGACTTCGCGCGCTCTCTCTCACAGCGCGGTGTGCCATTCCACAGGTGTGCCCCGTGTATGCTACGTCCAACACTTACAACTGATCAACTACGACTCTGGTGTGCACAAGTTATTCGCCAAGCCTCTACGAGCTCGACGTCTCTCTCACCTACGCCCAGACCGGCTTCCCGACACTCATCCACTGCGCTCCGAAAGCTTCAGCTGTGCGCACGTTCAAGCATGCATCTCGCGTGTCGGGGCTTCAAGGCTCGTGGTGCAAGTTCTCCAAGTCCGACATGCTGGAGAGCCTTTCGAAGGAACCTCGGGCGAACATGAAGGCAGGGGCGAAGCACGCAGACCCGTTGCGGAGGGTGCCGCAGGACGCGATCGACCTGTTGTGCAGGTGCGACGTGTGGGACAAGATAGCTGATCACTACGCGCTCAACTTCCCGATGCTGTGAGGTGAGCAATGCAATTTGTACTTGATATATGCGGGCGAACTGACTTTCTGGTTTGCTTTGCAGATGTAGAACATAGCAGTTTAAATATTCACACAAGTTGAATCGACGGCACAGACGCCCAGCGCCAACTGGGACCGGGACCTGGCTGGACGACCGCGAGGTACGTACTCATCGTGTACCGGCTCATCCCCACACCATGACCGTTGATGCCCCCACCAGGCTCTGACGGACTCTGATGCCGCTGTGGTCATTGACGCGCTGCCGGGCTCCGACACGTCCGCTCGCGTGAAAGCCCGGGACCTAGCGGGTGCCCCGGCGAGCCTACACACCGCGAAGGAGCCCTCTCCCGGACAGCATGACGAGGATGCTGGGTCACTCCACGTCACGTCATCTCTTCCGTGCTGCCGCCAGGTGAGTAGGCTGGTCCTTCGCGCTCATCCGCTGGGAGCTCATCTCTTCCGTGCCGCCGCCAGTGCGACAGTCGACTCGAGCATCTTCGAGCTATCCGCCCTCCCGAAACCTGTTTATGTCTTCTTTCTTTATTAGGTCTCGTTTTCGTATTGTACAGATAATTGGGCGGCACGCCCACGCTCTCTCTGCGTGGATAGTGCTCGATGAGGTGCGCGTGCCCCTACAGCGCGTATCGGCTCGGACCGCGCGCGATGCGCGCGCACACGACAGCTCGTCCCATGCATGCCCAGCCCTCACGACGGCGATATTTTGTGGACGCGAGTGCGGTACCTGCCGCTCATTCTCATGTACATGCGGCTTGTGGCACTGGAGCTCATCGCGAATGCTGATGCCCACCGGGAGGTGGCCCATCAAGTGGCCCAAAGTTCACGGAGTGATTTGAGCCGTGGTTGCCTGGTTGCCTGACTGCCTGGTTTGTGTCTGAAATATCTGGATTATTTTCTTCAGACAATCCAGGCAACCAGACATTTGCTGAATTACTGATGGTGATCGCCCCCCGGGCTTGCAGATGTCGATGTCTTGTCGATGTCGATGGACGATGTCAGATCTTGAAAACGGTCCAGCGCGCTTGCGAGACTGTACCTCCGCCTGTGATTCGCGTTCTGGGGAAAGAAAGTGGAAAGCATGAGATCAAGTGTTGGGACAAAGAGCAGATGTTACGCGCACAATGAACAGGCGCCGGAGGCGCGGCTTGGGCTGTCGTTGAGCATAGCGGTGAGCTACCTTCTGCATGACGAGTTCATGTGATATTGTGGTGAGGACACAGCTAGTTACCGTGGGTTCGAAGACAAACTGGTTCAGCCCACCCGTGCACGGCGACAACGGTAGCCACGAGCAAGTGAAAAACAAAAAAACTCTCGACAGAAAAAAGACCTAGGCATGCCACACGAGAGCATGTCGACAGACAATTATTTACCAAGAGCGCGACGCATCACTCAACGTGATCTCGGTACTCCCACCCCTGCTTCCAGGGCGACTCAGCCTTCGCGCGCAAAAGTAAGTGACTCCCGATAAAGAAGGTTCATAACCAGGAGGCGTAGTGACAGCCGCCTGGGAGCGGCCGGAGCCGTCGGCGGGCCGCGGCCGGTCGCCCGTATGGCGGCTCTCGCCAGCTCCGACTCGCCGTCTAATACTAGCGACTCTTGGATCACTTCCGTCATCTCCATCTCACCTGGCTACCATCTCACCTGGCCGTTTGCTCTGGTACGACACAGTTCTTTGACGTACGCACCTTCAGGACAGCCGGAGGCCCAGGAAGCGTCTCGTGAGTTCAGGCTTCTTTGCGCTACTTAGGCACTGCCATTCACCGAAACCAGCATCGACAGCTAGGATGTCATTGCTCTTTGACTCGATACTTACCCCTCTTCCATTTGACCAAGGACGCGGATCCTCATTTTCGAAACCCGTTGCCCTCTTTCGTCCGGCTGCGCGCCACTAATACTTGTCGCAAGAGGCCTCTTCTGGGCTCTGTGGATGCTTTGAAGCTCGAGGAGGGCGCGAAGGGGAACTTGGAGGACTATCCAGGTGTGCCTTTTCCTCCTCGACCCATCTACATTGGCTCAATTGCCACATGCTGTCCCCGAACACGCTCCAGATCCTGCCGCACATGCTATACAAGTCACCCGTAACGATCTTGCCCTCTTCCTTCCGATTCTCGCGTTGTTTCCCCTTCTCAGCCGAACCCCCGACATCCCCCTACCCCACGCCTCTCCTCATCGCCCACATTGGATACCAAGGCGTCGTGCACGAAGACGCCGAGTGCGCTCCCGCGCGCGGCCCGGGTGCCCTCGATATCCCTCTCATCCGCGGCAGCGCCGTCTCGCGCTCGCGCTCGAGCAAGTCACAGGGCGAACGACCGTGCGTCGTCACATAACTCGAAGTGCGCATATGCTCATCTCGCATGATTGCACGCCGCTCAATACAAATACCTCGTTCTATCTTCTCGACGCAGAGCTCTAGTTGCACTGCGCTCGCCGTCGCGTCGACATTATGACCATCGCCTGGTGCTAGTTCAACATCGAACCTGTATTTCTCCCCTTTCCCCGTGGCCTCGGCATCCGGATGACGCCCCCGGACCCGATACCCGTGGACCTACACGGAGCCGAGGCTGCACCACACACCCACGAGAGCGAGATACCCGCAGCCCTGTAAGACGTTGCAAGTCGGTCGAGTTGGGCGATTGGCCATGCCGTTGATGATCCAAGGAATCTTGAGTCCCGAGGTGCGTCTTCCTTCCCTTACGTATCGCGCATACACCCACCACGCATCATGCAGTCGCCCAAAGTCAAGGCCGCGCCGGCGTCGAGCACCAACCTCACAGACGACGGCATCCGCTCCGGCGTGGACATGTTCCGCGCGATCTCTCTCGGCACGCAGGCCGGCTTGCCTCGTGTGCGTCTTCGTCCGAGCGGACGCCGAGCACGGACGTTGCGCGCTGTAGTCGGGCGAAGGTGCGCGTGCGTGCTCGCCATCGTCGGGCAGGAGGGCATGGAGAGGGCTGTTGCGGACATTTGATGGGCAAGATCACGATCGAAGCCGGTTAGATACGCTCACTCTGTTCTCGCAGGATGACGGCGTGTGCGCGTCGTGAATATATGATGGATCTGGCGAGATGGGTTCTGCCACGTTCTGATGGCCGATGCAGCCTTCACGACGAGAAATCGCGAATATTCGGTGCCCGAATAGGACCTGGAACACGGTACTGCCATGGTACCTGTCACGGTCACGTTCTTTGTCTGGTCCGCTCCACACCAGACAAAGAACAGGAATCATGGTCGGAGCATGATCCGCGCCCGGCCGGAGTGGCGTAAGGTATTCTGATCCGCCCCCGACCATGCAAAGAACATGGTGAGCACACGTAACCTGACTGACTCATGTTCCCAGCCTGATATGCGCGCCACTGGGCATCATGGCATCAGCCTGGTCCGCCACAGACCAGGCCATGCCCAGGGTTCATGGCCTCAGTCTGATCGGCCACTTACCAGGTTTTATGTTCGGCCCCAAGACTTGTAAGTAGCGCCTTTCTTTTCACACTCTCCCGCGATCATTGATGTTTTCTTCGCCGCACGAACAGCGCTAGCGCCGTCAGTGCTACCGACATTCTCGTCCTCTCCAGCGGCCCCACCTCGTCCCTCTATCGCCCCGCCTTCAGCCCAGCGTCCGCACCCACGCGCCCATCGCCGCCTGCTATCGCCCGCGAATTCGCTCAAGTCCCGCACCCGGCCCGTCGAACTCTCGTTCACGACGCCGCTTGAGCCCGGCTCGACTCAGCTCAAGACCATTCAAGCTCGACCTCCCGCTCAACTGCGCGCTTGTCCCGCGGACGTCCATTGCCGCGCAAGCACACCATCCGGCTCAAGTCCGCCAGTGTGCCTGACCCTGCGCCTGACCACCGACGCAGCTTGATCAGATATGTATCCCTCCGCTCGCGCTCACGATACCTCAGTTAATCATTCTCCTAGACACGCTCCCGTCCCTGCGGTAATCTGTGTCGCGTGCACTCCGGTCGAGGGGCTCCACCCTGGAGTTGGATCCTTGGGCGTTCTGCGCACGAAGAGGCAATCTCGTTAGTAACGTCCACCATTCGTAGTTGTAAAATGACAATATCACGATCGCACCGGTGCCAGACTCGTCCAAACCTTCGATTGAGGTAACGAATACA